CGGGCCGTTGATGAGCGTCGCGTCGCCCTACTCAGATTGGTGTGTCCCGCACCGTTGTGTCTTTTCGGCCGTGCCGACACCGATTCGACATGTTGAATCAGGAGGCTGTCGGCTCAATCACTTTGATTGGCTGTTCAGCTAGCGAATCAGTGCATGAGAAGCGAAACGGAAGTGAGGACCCAAACAAACTATTAAGAAGGCAAATCTGAGATTTCATTTAACTCCAGCTCTCGACTGAGGTTCGGGAAAGCCATGTGAGCTTCTCGCTGTAGAGGGAAAATGGAACGCACGCTATTGTTTGTTTATATCACGTAGTCTGTTCTTCTTCTCTCGGTTATCACGCAGTCTGTGGCCGTTTCTCAATCGCGAGGATGCTGGCTTGGTAGTCGCGTACTTCCGAGCCACGGCTTCGGAAAACGAAGAAGAATGGAACAGGCTAACAAGTGTGCGGTTTCAACATAAACTGTACCGAAAATAAATACCTCACGATGTCGATCTAATTATGAACTTGCTTTACTTTCACGGAACACATTTATAGTGGTAACAAATGTAACAAAGTAACATATTTACCAACACATGTTCTACGCCATACTTACATTTAAATGTGTGCTGCGTCGGTTCAGCCATTCTCCGCAAGGGTTTTTGAAATTGGTCCGTGCGCAAAGCATTGTGGGGATTTTAAGGACGCGAAGTCTACCCATGTGTAGCCTCGAAATTACCCCCAAACCAAGGACGCGGCCTCGGTGGAATTCCAAGTATGCTGGAGATTGGAACAGTCCTTCGGCGGCACTCGATGACGTAGCATCCTTGAGATATTGGCTTGGAAGCCAGTATCCTCGAGATTGAGAAACGGCCTGTCTTCCGATTGTTGCCTCTTTTGAATGACGAATACACGCTACCGCCGCCTGCTGGTAAGGAGAGTTATTGCCACTCACGCATGCGCAGTTCGTACGTGCTTCTTGGCCGTCGGCTGAAGTCTTTGCGGTGTGTTCCAGTGCGACTGTTGGCCAAGACGCAGGAGACGTGAGGCGACGCAACAGTCGGGACGTGTTCTTTGATGTGTAAGGACCTTTACAGTTATAATGAGCTGTATTAGCAGGGACTCTCTGAAAGTTCTATATGAATAGATAGATGAATTCAATTATGAAACGTTTTGCTGAATGCCTCGGTGTTCTGGCCTCATCAGCTGAAACTCTGTCTGCTGCTTGACTTAGCAGAACATCCAATTCCCCCAGAGGACGCACACACCTGTCCTGAATACTTAAACTGTACCCCTGCTGCACGATGTGGATACGAGATAAGATTGATGGGATGCACGCTAACTCAGCGGTCACAAATCACTCAGATACACCGTATTGTGAGAAAAGCTGTGTTTAATTTGCAATCCATAAAAACTTGCAGTACATTAAGCAGATATTACAGTATATTACTTCTGTGTGTTGTGACAAATTCACTTACAGTATGTAACTTAGGTTGGCCGACCGGTGCAAATGCTTCAGGTCCAAAACACTTTAGAGTACGTCAGGAGCAACACGCTCCAGGTTCAGAAACGATGCAAATGTAAAAACATCAATGAGCCAAAACACATGAAGACACATCGAGAGCAACTTGAACATGCAGCTACTTGAGGAAACATGCGCAGCGTTTACTAACTGTGTGCGTCACTCTTTAGTGTCCCCCGGTGTCCCAGCTGTGTGCGTCACTCTTTAGTGTCCCCTGGTCTCCCAGCTGTGTGCGTCACTCTTTAGTGTCCCCTGGTCTCCCAGCTGTGTGCGTCACTCTTTAGTGTCCCCTGGTCTCCCAGCTGTGTGCGTCACTCTTTAGTGTCCCCCGGTCTCCCAGCTGTGTGCGTCACTCTTTAGTGTCCCCCGGTCTCCCAGCTGTGTGCGTCACTCTTTAGTGTCCCCTGGTCTCCCAGCTGTGTGCGTCCCTCTTTAGTGTCCCCTGGTCTCCCAGCTGTGTGCGTCCCTCTTTAGTGTCCCCTGGTCTCCCAGCTGTGTGCGTCACTCTTTAGTGTCCCCTGGTCTCTCAGCTGTGTGCGTCACTCTTTAGTGTCTCCCGGTCTCCCAGCTGTGTGCGTCACTCTTTAGTGTCCCCTGGTCTCCCAGCTGTGTGCGGCACTCTTTAGTGTCCCCCGGTCTCCCAGCTGTGTGCGTCACTCTTTAGTGTCCCCTGGTCTCCCAGCTGTGTGCGTCACTCTTTAGTGTCCCCTGGTCTCCCAGCTGTGTGCGTCACTCTTTAGTGTCCCCTGGTCTCCCAGCTGTGTGCGTCACTCTTTAGTGTCCCCTGGTCTCCCAGCTGTGTGCGTCACTCTTTAGTGTCCCCTGGTCTCCCAGCTGTGTGCGTCACTCTTTAGTGTCCCCTGGTCTCCCAGCTGTGTGCGTCACTCTTTAGTGTCCCCTGGTCTCCCAGCTGTGTGTGTCACTCTTTAGTGTCCCCTGGTCTCCCAGCTGTGTGCGTCACTCTTTAGTGTCCCCTGGTCTCCCAGCTGTGCGCATCACTCTTTAGTGTCCCCTGGTCTCCCAGCTGTGTGCATCACTCTTTAGTGTCCCCTGGTCTCCCAGCTGTGTGCGTCACTCTTTAGTGTCCCCTGGTCTCCCAGCTGTGTGCGTCACTCTTTAGTGTCCCCTGGTCTCCCAGCTGTGTGCGTCACTCTTTAGTGTCCCCTGGTCTCCCAGCTGTGTGCGGCACTCTTTAGTGTCCCCTGGTCTCCCAGCTGTGTGCATCACTCTTTAGTGTCCCCTGGTCTCCCAGCTGTGTGCGTCACTCTTTAGTGTCCCCTGGTCTCCCAGCTGTGTGTGTCACTCTTTAGTGTCCCCTGGTCTCCCAGCTGTGTACGTCACTCTTTAGTGTCCCCTGGTCTCCCAGCTGTGTGCATCACTCTTTAGTGTCCCCTGGTCTCCCAGCTGTGTGCATCACTCTTTAGTGTCCCCTGGTCTCCCAGCTGTGTGCATCACTCTTTAGTGTCCCCTGGTCTCCCAGCTGTGTGCGTCACTCTTTAGTGTCCCCTGGTCTCCCAGCTGTGTGCGTCACTCTTTAGTGTCCCCTGGTCTCCCAGCTGTGTGCGTCACTCTTTAGTGTCCCCTGGTCTCCCAGCTGTGTACGTCACTCTTTAGTGTCCCCTGGTCTCCCAGCTGTGTGCATCACTCTTTAGTGTCCCCTGGTCTCCCAGCTGTGCGCATCACTCTTTAGTGTCCCCTGGTCTCCCAGCTGTGCGCATCACTCTTTAGTGTCCCCTGGTCTCCCAGCTGTGTGCGTCACTCTTTAGTGTCCCCTGGTCTCCCAGCTGTGTGCGGCACTCTTTAGTGTCCCCTGGTCTCCCAGCTGTGTGCGTCACTCTTTAGTGTCCCCTGGTCTCCCAGCTGTGTGCGTCACTCTTTAGTGTCCCCTGGTCTCCCAGCTGTGTGCGTCACTCTTTAGTGTCCCCTGGTCTCCCAGCTGTGTGCGTCACTCTGTAGTGTCCCCCTGGTCTCCCAGCTGTGTGTGTCACTCTTTAGTGTCCCCTGGTCTCCCAGCTGTGTGCGTCACTCTTTAGTGTCCCCTGGTCTCCCAGCTGTGTGCGTCACTCTTTAGTGTCCCCTAGTCTCCCAGCTGTGTGCGTCACTCTTTAGTGTCCCCCGGTCTCCCAGCTGTGTGCGTCACTCTTTAGTGTCCCCTAGTCTCCCAGCTGTGTGCGTCACTCTTTAGTGTCCCCTGGTCTCCCAGCTGTGTGCGTCACTCTTTAGTGTCCCCTGGTCTCCCAGCTGTGTGCGTCACTCTTTAGTGTCCCCTGGTCTCCCAGCTGTGTGCGTCACTCTTTAGTGTCCCCTGGTCTCCCAGCTGTGTGCGTCACTCTTTAGTGTCCCCTGGTCTCCCAGCTGTGTGCGTCACTCTTTAGTGTCCACTGGTCTCCCAGCTGTGTGCGTCACTCTTTAGTGTCCCCTGGTCTCCCAGCTGTGTGCATCACTCTTTAGTGTCCCCTGGTCTCCCAGCTGTGTGCATCACTCTTTAGTGTCCCCTGGTCTCCCAGCTGTGTGCATCACTCTTTAGTGTCCCCTGGTCTCTTCACGTGTTTGTGTTTCTATATTTGCATCCTTTCTGAAGCGCGTTTCTCATAATGGAAATGTGTTGGTTTGTTGTTGCACGTTTTCATTCGTCGGCCACCATATCAAATGTATACAGTAACCTGAAACATACATTTTTTTTACATCTTAAATTACATAATTACACATCAGGTACAAAAACCTTTAAAAAAGTTAATAATAAAATATAAATCTAGCCATATTTTCCTCAGCAACATCCTTCATATACTAGCATTGCATTTTGGTAATTAAACAGTGACATTAAAGGACATGAGGCGTGAACAACGTTAAAGTGTCGGCAAACAATCTTACATTCCCTCATAATGCCCCGTGACGGATGCATCAAAAACAGGAACTGTGGTGATGACTTTATTACAGATAATGTGACCGAGCAGGATTACCGGAAGAATTCATAACACCCCTGCGGAGAAATAATAATAGTGTTTCTGTTCTGAGAATCCTCTAAATCCCATGTGAGAAAACGGAGCTTTACTTCTGAACCTGCGTCTGTTGGTATTGGCATTTTATCAGGATCAAATCCAACTTCAGTGGAAGAGAAATAAACATGAACAAATCCTGCTTTTATTGCTCTGTAAGCGGCTGTTAAAATATGTGTTTCTTCTCAGTGCGAACATTTCCTACCTACTGTTTGGAGATAAGCCAAAACTCTTCATTCATCCAGAGAAAAACACAACATGTTTAATGTCATATTTAATGTCGTGTCCCACTGATTAGTTATCTGTTGGTTGGCAATTTGTAGAGTTTCTTTATCAGCCGCTAAGTTGCAATCAAAAGATGTGCACTGGATAGTAAAGTATTGGTTTGCAAGTTGTAGATTCATTGTTCTATAAATCAAGTGTTTTTGAATGTTTTTGCTTCTGTGTAATTGTTTATTTTGATCAGGTAAGCTCTGGTTTTGTTGTAGAATTTTGATATTTAATTAAAGGGGCGCTATACTGCTCTTTTTCAGGTTAATATTAATATTTGTGTGGCTTTACTGTGACATGTTTCTATGCTTTAATGTGCAGAAAGCTCTTTATTTTTCTTATACAACACACAGGATAGGGAAACCCCCAAAAAGCAGAATAGTGCCTCTTTGGAAGAGTTAGAAATCTGTTGGTTTGCAAGTTGTAGATCAATTCTTTCATAAATTAATATATAAAACACAGAAAAGAAAGTGCTTTTTCCAATTATGCTGCTGTGTTATTGTTCCTTAAGCTTCGTTAAGGTAGCAGAATATTGAATGAAAGGAAGTGCATTGGTGATGTAAGATGAAAATGACAAAGCAATGATGTGTGTGGCTTTAGCAGCAGATTTACAGTGCAGGCGTTAGTAGCTTTTCACAATTATACATGTTTTAGCCCGTGTGACACACAGGGTAATGCGCCAAAAAATACTAATTCACCAAATCCACACTCAGATAAACTCAAAATGAAACCAGAAGACTGCTTTGTAAAACCAAAAAAAGGGCTAAATAAATCACATTACAGCAGTTTTTCTCCTCAGTAAATTCAACACTGCATAGATTTAGTTTAAGACACACACAGGCAAGAACTTATAACAGTACTATAGGAGGAGAAGTGTTTCCAGGAACAGGAAGGAGTCCGGCTCTCAGGCGGTCACAGAGGCACTTAAAGAAACAAACACAAAGCCATCAGTCACATGGAAACAGTCAGAGAAGTAATCACAGTGTCAGCAGTCGTCTTTTCTCCAGTTTAATGGAATAAAAGGGTCCGCAAGCGCCAACAAAAGACTTTTGACAGAAAATATGACCTGTTGACTCAAGATGTAGAAACCAGGTGGAAGAAGTATATTTAACTTGAGTAAAAGTACTAATACAACACAGTAAAATAGCTTTGTTACAAGTAAAAGTCCTGCATTTAAATGGTTATTTCATTAAAAGAGGCTGAAGTATTGAAAGTTAAAGTACAAAATGCAACAATTTTTTTTTTTTAAAACGCTAAATTATTTATAATACAGGAGAAAGGGTTAAAAATGTCAATTATATTTCTCCCAATATCTAAAAAAAACCCATCTTGAATGAACTCTTGGACAACTTAATTTATAACAAAACAGCATTTTTTTTAATGTTCCTTTGAATTGTAGTGGAGTAGAAGTGGCAGGAGAGAAAATACTGCTGGTAGGAACTAGTTTCTTCAAACCGAACTACACCCACCAAATGTATCCCTGCACAGTAGGAAGCGTCCATCTAGTCATGGGGTGTTTCTCAATGTCGAGTAAGGCTGCTCCAGAGCCACTATTTCAAGCACACATCGAGTGCCGCCGAAGGACTGTTCCAATGTCCAGGATGCTTGGAATTCTACCGAGCCATCGTACTTCATAGCGAGAAATTTCGAGGCTGCACATGTGTATACTCCGCGGTCTTAAAATCCCCACAATGCTTTGCGCACGGACCAATTTCCCCAAATCTGTGGCGGAAAATGTAAGGCGGGGCCTCTCCTATGACGCACACCTGCACACCTGCTCGCCTGTTCCACTCTTCGTTTTCCGAATGCCAGGAAGTATTCTTGCCTCTGAAGTAAGTGACTCGGAAGACATGTGCTACCAAGCAAGCATCCTCGACATTGAGAAACACCCATGGACGAGAGGCAGTGTGACAGGTAATGAAGAGAATCATACATCAAATAGTTCCTACATGAAACTGCATTATCTTGAGTCATGATTTCTGGAAAGAGACATTCCCGTTAAGAACAGGCAGATATTTGTTCAAAATGTGAAATGTCCCTTAATGATAATACTGTAGTAAAACAGACTTAGCTTTACACTTAGAGCTAAGTGCAGTGGTTCAGCAATGAGTCCTTAAACGTGTAAATATCATAAACGTTTGAGATTGTCTTCTGCAAAAAGCCAATGGTCAAATCCCATTGGCTTTTTGTCAAGAGAACCAGGGAGATGCTAATTTACGGATAGGCGTATTTGTGAGGGAATAATTATCTCTTACTCCTAGGCATCTAACCTTTTTGCCCTTTGACGTTTACGACCAACCCTGACGTCTGTTATCTGTCTTAAGGAATGGGAGGCCTCAGCTATTGTTGATATTACCAGTTTTATGATCAACTCTCGGTCACAAATGGTTTATAGTTGTAAGAACGCTGGCTTCGAGGCCATTAAGGGTCAGACGCAAGTGATTCAGTGGGCCCAGATATTTACGTTATCTCCCCCAATATGTTGATTAACTCTCTGTAAACTAGTTGAAAGGGCTATCGAGAGAGAGGCTCTGGAGAATTGATGTGGCAACCCACCCGTGCAGTCAGAACCTCTGGCCGATACTTGTAATAAACCACCAGTGTTTGACATCAAAGCTCCAACTCTCCTCGTGTCTCTCTGAGTCCTGACTCTCCATTGCTGCAGAAGTTTCCCTTACAGTATTCATCTTGAGAACATAGAAAAAGTGTAATATATTTACACATACGTCTTACTTTGCTGGATCATGTTGATGCAGTTCTTCATAAAATGAGTGTGAACTGCTGCCAGAATCCAATAGAAAAATCCCATTGGGTGATTCCCGATAAAAGCCTAATGTCTTTGTTTACAGGAACTCTGTATGATTCTGTATCCAACCATCCAGGTGGTTTGTGTCCTATATTCATGTAGCACTGTTGAGCCTGTGACTTCACTTTCTGATTGCCATATCTACACTGTAGCTGCTGAGCACGTGACAATAAAGCCTTGAAACTTGAACCATGCTTACCCAGGGAGGAGGTGCTGAGTGGAGTCCGCTGCAGAGTGGCGTACCCGGGTTTATCCGTCAGCAGGACTCTGTGGGACGGAGCTGCCACGATGTCTCCGTTCCTCTGCAGGGAAGCACACCTGTGGAAAGTCAAATCCATTCTGCTCTGGATGTTGCCGGAGCTGTGAGCGCGCTGAATGTCCACCGGGTCCAGATGCCCAGCCTTCCCATTCCCTACTTTACACTGATGATGACGCGCCGCTCCGTTAGCCTTCCTCTCCTCGGGCACCAGCGTCCCGTTGGAGAGGGACAGTTTGGATAAGTTACCGCTCGCCAGCTTCCCCAGGTGTCCGTTCAGTCGGCCTCTAAGTGGTGACACGGGGACGTCTTTCTTCATGAATCCGGGTTTGAAGAAGGACAGGAGGCTCTCGTGGCTCCGGCCGTCCCTTCTGTCCTCAGGTTGACTCTGAGGGAAGTCTTTTTGAGCTCTGCAGGCCACCGTAGTCCTTCTGAGCGTGGAGTCTCTGCTGGGGGGCGCACTGTGGCTGATTTGATCCTCTCTCTTTAGATCCAGGGTCCTACTGTGCTCCTGTCTTAGTCTTTTCGATGACTTTTGCTTTAGAATAGCATCGTCCCGAGTTCTGCTTTGTCCCTCCGGGGCTTTAGGAGAATCGGACCCTTGTCTTTCTGAGAAACTCAAACTGCTGTTGATAGTTGAGCTGCAGTCCGCTCCTCTTGCCTTCTTCAGCGTTGGGGTCGCCACCAGAGCTACGATGGGGTCTTTGGTGCAGCGGGGCCGCCGCCCAGACTCCAGATACTCCACCAGCTCTCCAGACTTGGCCGTTTCCGGGGGTCTGATGCGATCCTTGGAGCTGAAAGAAGCCCAGCGCAGAGGCAGCACTTTGCTCAGAGGCTCCTTGGGTTTGGTGGGTGATCTCATGCTGACGCTGCGGCCTGGAGTCCCACGGACCAACGGCTGGGCTTCAAACCCACCTGGAGGGGAAGGAAAGACACGTTACATCTACTGAGGCTGCACAATTAATCCAAGATGTGTTAAAATCACAATATGGACAAGTGCAATATCCAAACTGCAGTAGAACTAGTATAAAAAGGCATTTTCTCTTTCATTGTAACTAACAGTTTTCCTAATATGCATCAGTGTTGAGATACATTATTACTTTTGGAAGTACCTAGAGAGCATTACAAGAACACTGGGGAGGCTGCTTTCTGTTTTCTATCGCCCATTGGATCTTAGAACAGCAACCTCAATTGGAATTGTTTTAAGCACCTATCTTTTTAATTAGTTGTATTGTTTTATGGTTCAGTGATATAACTCTTTCTGTTTTTCATTTTCTGCCATAAAGCACTTTGGGCTGCGTCAAGCATGAACGGTACTATATTAATAAAGTGTGTTACTATTATTAATATAATCGAATGAAGTCGCATTTTTTTGTTATACACCCCAACATCACAAACTATACATGTGTCTAAGGGGGCTTTGCATTGTGTACAGAGGTCCTAAAAAGTCTTGAACCAAAGCCAGCCTTTAATATAATCTTTATCAAACAGGAAAGTCTATAGAAGCATAACAAGGGGTCGGTTCAAGGTAAGCCTGAACCAGTTCTAACTAACTATAACTAACTATAAGCTTTATCAAAAAGTAGATTTTTAATCCCAGCAGTATAACTTTGGGCTGGTTCAAGGAAAGATTGCTCCAACCCTAACTATAAGCTTTATATATATATATATATATATATATATATATATATATATATATATATATATATATATTGTAGGAGCCATTTTATGGGTGTTGTTGGTGTCTCAGTTTACTTTATTTATATGTAGAGTGCAATACTATTTTGAACACTTGGTGGCGGGGTTTAGCTGCACCGGGTGTATACAAGGGGTCATAGGTGACAGGAAAGGACGAGGACACAGGAGGAAGAGCACACCGATTCCACCAGCCCGGCAGATGCTCTACCACAACCTTTGACAGAGCATAATTAAACCTTGGTATGTAAAGCTAAATAAACATCATTAGCAGCAAAAGACCGGAAATCATCTGTTTGTGTCTGGATCACTCTAAAGCAGGGGGGTCAAACTACATTTCAACTCGGGCCACATTAGCATCATGGTTTCACTCAAAGGGCTAGTTTGATATTAGACTATATAAGAATAAATATATAAATAAAAATGTAATATATATAAGATAATATATTATATTACATGATTGCCTCCGCATTGGATTATTATCAGACAGGGTAATAACTTCATAATCAACTACGTCTGAAAGCAGAAGTCTAGGGCAAATAATTGCAAGTCTCTTCAGTGAGAATGTCACAAAATGATTTAAAAAGAAAAGCCACATTTTGGAAAAACAAAAAATAATAAGTGACATTTTGAAAAAAAAGTAACACTTTGAAAAAAAATTCAAAATTCAAATTCCGAGGAAAAAGTCTAATTTGAGATGCATTCTGGGACATGTAGTTTATGAGCAATGTGCTTCTGTAAATCGCCATGTAACCGTATAATAAACATATTATATTATTTTCAAGCTCTTGTGGGGCCGCATGAAATTAAGTCGCGGGCCGGATTTGGCCCCCGGGCCTTGAGTTTGACACCCCTGCTCTAAACCCTCCTGTGAAGTAATGGCAAAGGATATAGGACATTGGAACATGAAAATTGCCATTACATATTGATGCAGTTATTCATTCAACTGCTGCCAAAACATTGGATGTTATAGATTCTCGATAAAATCCTGTTCAAATCCTAATTTCTTTGTTTACTAAAATACGTTTCTAATTCTAACTCAGAGAAAATGTGCTATGCATCCAAAACGGAAACTCAAGGAAAGCTTGCTCAGAGAAGAAAGGCTACGATTGAACTTATGTTGACTCAAGAAACCACTAATAACTAAGTATTCTAGGAACGCTATACCTTTGTTATATGGGTAACAATATGATATGACAAAGGTAAAGCCTTATAGGGACGGGTGGCGCAGTGTTCTGTGCGTTTGATCATCAGGTCAAGGGGGCGTTGGGGAACTCCAGTTCGAAACCCGTTCCCGCCCCACTCCCGCTCCCGCCCCACTGCGTCAGGCCGTTGTGTCCTTGGGCAAGACACTTCACCCGAATTTGCTCCTGTGGGTATTGTCCACAGTAGATGACCATTACATGTATGATCTGTATGTGTAATGTGTATTTGTAAAGCGCTTTGAGAGTCTTTGATAAAGCGCTATAATAAATATAAGGATTATATTATAGCATGGGGTACTATGGGGTCTTCAGACAAAGGGTCATTGAACATGTTTTCTCTCACTGATCCTGCTGTTATGTTAAATGTTTGTTGTTTGTTTTTCATGTATGGGGTCTTGATATGTGTCTGTTGATGTTACGCATGGAGCTGCTGTGATGCAAGGAGCATTTCAGACTTGATCTGAGCGTTAAAGTATTATCGTATCCTCACATAAAACGGTGTGTGATCTCTACACACTACTACTCCAGATTCTTACTTGTTTCCTCTGTTTTTGGCGGTTCTTCTCGAAACACTGGTAGCTCCGGAGACTCTGGGGCCTGTTTGGTCTCCCGAGCTCCAGGGGGGGGTCCTCCTGACCCAACACTGCCCCGTTTACTGCCCCCCTCCGCCAGCCGAACCAACCAGTGGTCAGACGTGGAGGAACTGGTGGAACCTGCAGAAAAAAACAAGGTTTTTTCAGTAACCAAAAAGCATCTGTGTGCAGGAATACGTGTCCCACCATTTGTGAAGAGTGAGCTGAAAACATTCCTGTTCATGGAGAAGCTGCTGGAAACATCGTTATCACCGTCATGTAATGGCTTGATCACACAGACAATGCTCAAACAACCCTGCAAACTGAAATAACCCGGGGCGTGAAAAATAGCAATAATGATGGAGAGAGGTGTTATGAAATGCATTCGAGCTCACAATCCGGCAAACGACAATAACCGAGGGGAGAATACCAGCGGATATAATGATGAGGTGTTGTGATACTCTGTGCATGATACAACTTCAAATAAACAAGTTATGTAAACAGCAGGGTAGATGTATGGTGTATACATTTATAAATAGGCATACAGTAAGAGTAGATAGATATCTGTATGAATAAGAACAGAGGTGTAAAGTACCTAAGTAGATATACTCAAGTACTGTCCTTAAGTATAATGTTGAGGTACTTTGTACTTCTACTCCACTACACTTCAGAGGTACATGGTGTACTTTGACTCCACTACATGTATTTAATACCTTCAGTTACTTCACAGATGAATGATGTGAAATCTAACCAAGTGTTGAATCAGACTTTAGTTCCACCTGGAGTAAATCCACCAGCTACCCTGCAGAATACAAAGTCATTCAAACTAGCTGCACCTTCACCAGCTTTGAGAACACTTTCATGATCAATCATTATAAAACATATCATATATATTATTCTGAAATGGACCAATCTGCACAATCACTACTTTTGAAGTGACTTTTATTTTGTATATTGATTGTTGTGCTTTTATTTATGTCTTAATGTGTGCATATGTATACATGTGTCTGTTGATTGTTTATATATAGGTATATACATATTTTTATAAATATTTGTATTTCTCTGGATTGTGGGGAACGGTATTTCTGTACACACAAACTGAAAGATTGACAATAAAGTTGACTTTGACTTTTGGTACTTTAAAGTGGACCTGTCATGCTATATTTGAATAATATAGTGTAGGACCATACCTATATAAGGCATATTTATACTTTTTATTTTTCAAAATACCAAATAGATCATGCATTTTAGCCATTCCTTATTTCGCTCAATTTAACACTGTCTTTGCACGGGCTGATTCTGTGAGAACAGCACCATCTACAGGCCTGGCATATGTACTACAACGTCTCCAGCTCTTTCGAATGGCAATGGCCGTGGCTGTCTCCTCCTGATTGGTGGAGTTGGCCCAATAGCCGTAGCGCCACTTCTGTGACGTCATAGAAGTTTTAAAATCTGTATCAGATCCGTTGTAGCCCCTTTTTAAGAGATTTGGGTATGGAGGAAAATAGAGAGGGTTGTGTTTTCTGACACTTGGTGAGTTCCCTGGAACACCGGGGACACATATTCATGTATAAAAGACGTACAAAAGTGCATTTTGCATGATAGGTCATCTTTAAGTATATTTTGATGATAATACTTTTGTACTTTTACTTGAGTAACATTTGAATGCAGGACTTTCACTGTAACAGAGTATTCCTACACTCTGGTACTTTACTTTTACTACAAGATCTGAGTCCTCGGAATATGGTACAGTGTGTAAAACAACCCAGTGACAGTGTTAGTGCTGACGGTCACTATGGGATACAGTGAGGCAGATTCCCCCTGATGTCTCTCACATAACGAGGTGCTGCAGAGGGTTTGTAAGCACTGTAATGGAAATTATGATTATCAGAGAATTTAATGCTCTGATGTTACATTTTAACTAGGGCCGGGACTCGATTAAAAAAATTAATCTAATTAATTAGAGGCTTTGTAATTAATTAATTAATCGAAATTAATCGCATTTTTAATCGCATATATACACAAGTATATTTGACCTAAGAACAGTGAGAAGCAATTTTTTTTCACATGGATTTTAGTATACCATTAGGCGCATTCACACCGCAGTACTTTTCCCACAAAGGTTCATGAGAATTTAGTTCATGAGAACTCTTTGAACCTGGGGGTGGATTAGGCAAATGAAGCCGCTGACGTCTTCTTCTGCTTTGGGTTTACTGGCAGGCCGCAAACCACTTCACGGCGTATACTGCCGCCCAAAGTCCCCGGCCGGAAGTCCCCGGAGTTGGGGACTGGCTTCAGTAGAAGCTGCTGGGACTCCCAGCAGCTTCTACTGAAGCCTTCCGAGTAAATCGCCAGAATGCCGACACCTCCTCATCTCCACCGCTCCCATGTTTTATTTTGTGTTGCCATAAGTTAGTCTCTCTGCGTTTCTGCGCTGGGCTAATGCTAATAATGCTAATGCGAGGATAATAAAATGGCGGCTTCACAAAACTTTTTGGGAGTTTTACGGGGCGTGGTTTGCAATCCGCCCAGCCAATCAGAAATATAGCTCTTTTCTCACAAGAGAGCCGTACGAAAGTCCCTGCTCTCTAGCAGCTCTCTGCTCTCTAGCAGGGACTTTCGTGGGGGTAAAAAGGTTCTCATTAACTAATTTTAGTACCGGCTCTTTTGGTGTGAACGCGATAAAAGAGGCTAACGTCCACGCTAGCTTCCACGCTAGCTGCTATATGTTTTGCATTGAGGTGATACTTGAGGCTTGATGTGCTGCGGTGATATGCGAATTCCTTTTTGCATAATTTGCACACAACCGTGCTCTTATCGACGCTTCCATCCGTCCGTTTTTTAAAACAACATTTCCCACTGTTGTTCACTGTGGTTTGTTGTTGTCTGAAGTCATGAACGTTAGTTGGTGCTCCAGTATAATCGGTACGCCTGAAACTCATCCAGTGAGAAACGTTCCACGGTGCAAAAATAAGTGCGATTAAGATGCGTTAATTTTTTTAACGCGTTAATTTTTGTGTAATTAATTCATCTTAATTAACGCGTTAAAGTCCCGGCCCTAATTTTAACATATAAATAATACAATTCTGTAAGCCTTCCATGTTGAGTGACAGTAGATCTCAGCACCCAGGAAGGTGATCAGTCACAAGGTGCCATGTGACCAGAAAGTGATCTGATCATGGGTCTATTGTACTCTGATAGGGTCATCATGGGTCTATTGTACCCTGATAGGGTCATCATGGTCTATTGTACTCTGATAGGGTCATCATGGTTCTATTGTACTCTGATAGGGTCATCATGGGTCTATTGTACTCTGATAGGGTCATCATGGGTCTATTGTACCCTGATAGGGTCATCATGGTCTATTGTACTCTGATAGGGTCATCATGGTTCTATTGTACCCTGATAGGGTCATCATGGTCTATTGTACTCTGATAGGGTCATCATGGGTCTATTGTACCCTGATAGGGTCATCATGGTCTATTGTACTCTGATAGGGTCATCATGGGTCTATTGTACTCTGATAGGGTCATCATGGGTCTATTGTACTCCGATAGGGTCATCATGGTCTATTGTACTCTGATAGGGTCATCATGGGTCTATTGTACTCTGATAGGGTCATCATGGGTCTATTGTACTCCGATAGGGTCATCATGGTCTATTGTACTCTGATAGGGTCATCATGGGTCTATTGTACTCTGATAGGGTCATCATGGTCTATTGTACTCTGATAGGGTCATCATGGGTCTATTGTACTCCGATAGGGTCATCATGGGTCTATTGTACTCCGATAGGGTCATCATGGGTCTATTGTACTCTGATAGGGTCATCATGGGTCTATTGTACTCTGATAGGGTCATCCTGGGTCTATTTTACTCTGATAGGGTCACCATGGTCTATTGTACTCTGATAGGATCATCATGGGTCTATTGTACTTTGATAGGGTCATCATGGGTCTATTGTACTTTGATAGGGTCATCATGGGTCTATTGTACTCTGATAGGGTCATCATGGTCTATTGTACTCTGATAGGGTCATCATGGTCTATTGTACTCTGATAGGGTCATCATGGGTCTATTGTACTCTGATAGGGTCATCATGGGTCTATTGTACTCTGATAGGGTCATCATGGGTCTATTGTACTCTGATAGGGTCATCATGGGTCTATTGTACTCTGATAGGGTCATCATGGGTCTATTGTACCCTGATAGGGTCATCATGGGTCTATTGTACTCTGATAGGGTCATCATGGGTCTATTGTACTCATCATGGGTCAGTTATCTCATGACTAAGCATGTATTCAATAGGCGCCTTCACACCGGAGTACTTTTCCCAGTATAGTTCCGATATAGTTCCGAAAATGTGCGTTCACACCAAAAAAATCTGGAACTAGAACTTAGTTCATGTGAACCTTTTCTCCCCCTTTTCAGTCCCTGCTAGAGAGCAGGTACTTTCATGGGAGAAAAAGGTTCCCATTTCTGATTGGCTGGGCGGATTGCAAACCACGCCCCGTAAAACTCCCAAAAAGTTGTGTGAAGCCGCCATTTTATTTACTTGCATTAGCATTATTAGCATTAGCATTAGCCCAGCGCACCAACGCAGAGAGACGGTGGAGATGAGGAAGTGTCGGCGTTCTGGCGATTTACTCGGAAGGCTTCAGTAGAAGCTGCTGGGAGTTTCAGCAGCTTCTACTGAAGCCAGTCCCCAACTCCGGGGACTTCCAGCCGGGGACTTTGGGCGGCATTATACGCCGTGAAGTGGTTTGCGGCCTGCCAGTAAACCCAAAGAAGAAGAAGAAGTGACGTCAGCGGCTTCATTTGCCTAACGGCCCGTCCACACACAGGCATGAAAAAAATCTTTCAAAGCTTCGCCCATTCACTTGAATGGGGTGACGTAGAAGATTTAGAATCTTCGCCAAACTGCATTGTGGGGAGCGGAGCATGGCTTTGCAAGAATCGTGAACATCAAAAGTTGAGCAATGTTCAACTTTTGATGCTCCCGATGCTTTCAAAGCTGGCATCAGCCAATCAAATCCTGTTTATGCAAATCCCGCCAGTACAAGCGCTAGCCAATCAAACCGCGTGCAAGCTGGGAGAGCCAGACCGCAGTTCATTTCGTCATATTCCAAACGAGAAATTACGGTAGCAAATCACCCGGTTCTTTCCGACCAGAACTATTTACCGGGATACAAACCGGAGGAACCAGGCATGGAGGGAGGTGGCAGAGACAGTGGGTGAAAATGGTAGGTTTTCGCCTGTTTGGGGAGTTTATATCCAGTTTACTTCGTTTTAACGTTGCTATTGCTTTGTATGTCGGGGGCGGGAGATTCATGTGATTGGTTGTTGGTCGCGTTGCTCGCAAAAAATCGCCAAGCTTCAGACACGCCCAGCATCAAGATTTTTCAAGATTTTTTTCATGCCTGTGTGTGGACGAGCCGTAATCCTCCCCCAGGGACTTATGGATGGATGTTCTTTCAAAAGTTCAGGTGTTTCAGATTAAAGAACCAGAAAGACATCTCTTTGACTAGTTCATTTCAATAATTTCCAGCACAGCACTGACCAGTGACGGAGGAGCTGGCGGACCACGAGGGTATGGTGTGTCTCCTCTGGTAGAAGAGGATATAGGCTCCACGTGTGCAGACCTCCGCCTCCGGCACCGCCTCCGCACTGCTGTCATCATAACTGTACCACTGGCCGTCCACTGAGTTCCTGCAGAAAGCTGCAATCACCACCACAAAGGAGAGAAATAACCAACGTGTGAGTGTGGAGGACAGGAGGGGTAATCAACTGAGGTGGAGGAAGTGTTATGTTACTGCAGGGATGGCAAAAGATTCAGATTCAGAGTCCCACAGAGGGGACAATTACATTGTTACAGCAGAAAAGAGCCAAAGACAGCTTAATGTTACCTAAGAATCATGCATAAAAGTAAAACAATATATGTATAATTAAAAAAAAGTTACACAATTTCCAAAATACACATCCTTTACTCAAGTAGAAGTATAGATACGCGTGTTTAAAAATACTCTGGTGAAAGTAGAAGTACTGACTAAACTTCTTTACTCAAGTAAAAGTAAAGAGGCTTTGAAATGTACTTCAGTAAAAAGTACCCATAACTAGCAGCTGCTTTAAAGAGTACTTGACCTCCCTTTATATTAATAGAACAATAATGTCATTGTTAGCTAATGAATGTTTCCATGCTGAACAACGGCAACATGACAACGTTTCCATTGGTCCCTCTTCTTTAGAGAAGACCAGGAAATGATGGATACACGGATCGTGTTCAAATCAATAGGCACGCAATGACTCTAAAGAATAATGATCACGCATCAAACACACATTCAGACTAAAGGAACCAGCTGTTTGGAAAATGAGAGAAGTAGAAAGTACAGGTATTTGTGTTCAACATGTAAGAAGTAGAAAGTACAGGTATTTGTGTTCAACATGTAAGAAGTAGAAAGTACAGGTATTTGAGTTCAACATGTAAGAAGTAGAAAGTACAGTTATTTGAGTTCAACATGTAAGAAGTAAAAAGTACAGGTATTTGAGTTTAACATGTAAGAAGTAGAAAGTACAGGTATTTGTGTTCAACATGAGAGAAGTAGAAAGTACAGGTATTTGAGTTCAACATGTGAGAAGTAGAAAGTACAGGTATTTGTGTTCAACATGTAAGAAGTAGAAAGTACAGGTATTTGAGTTCAACATGTAAGAAGTAGAAAGTACAGGTATTTGAGTTCAACATGTAAGAAGTAGAAAGTAAAGGTATTTGAGTTCAACATGTAAGAAGTAGAAAGTACAGGTATTTGTGTTTAACATGTAAGAAGTAGAAAGTACAGGTATTTGAGTTCAACATGTAAGAAGTAGAAAGTACAGGTATTTGAGTTCAACATGTAAGAAGTAGAAAGTACAGGTATTTGTGTTCAACATGTAAGAAGTAGAAAGTACAGGTATTTGTGTTCAACATGTGAGAAGTAGAAAGTACAGGTATTTGAGTTCAACATGTAAGAAGTAGAAAGTACAGGTATTAGAGTTCAAAATGTGAGAAGTAGAAAGTACAGGTATTTGTGTTCAACATGTGAGAAGTAGAAAGTACAGGTATTTGAGTTCAACATGTAAGAAGTAGAAAGTACAGGTATTTGTGTTCAACATGTAAGAAGTAGAAAGTACAGGTATTAGAGTTCAAAATGTAAGAACTCAAAGTAAAAAGTCGTCAGAAAAATCGACAGTAACGAATATTCGAATAATCGAATAATCGCTGGCATCCCTAGTTCCTTTATAGCCCAACATTAGCCACCTTTAGCTTAGCGGTGGTGACGTGAAGTCATGTGACCGTGCTGTAGTTCCTTTATAGCCCAACATTAGCCACCTTTAGCTTAGCGGTGGTGACGTGAAGTCATGTGACCGTGCTGTAGTTCCTTTATAGCCCAACATTAGCCACCTTTAGCTTAGCGGTGGTGACGTGAAGTCATGTGACCGTGCTGAAGTTCCTTTATAGCCCAACATTAGCCACCTTTAGCTTAGCAGTGGTGACGTGAAGTCATGTGACCGTGCTGTAGTTCCTTTATAGCCCAACATTAGCCACCTTTAGCTTAGCGGTGGTGACGTGAAGTCATGTGACCGTGCTGTAGTTCCTTTATAGCCCAACATTAGCCTCCTTTAGCTTAGCGGTGGTGACGTGAAGTCATGTGACCGTGCTCTAGTTCCTTTACAGCCCAACATTAGGCAAGGCAAGGCAAGGCAAGGCAAGGCAAGTTTATTTATATAGCACTTTTCAACACAAGGCAATTCAAAGTGCTTTACAAAAAATGAAAGAGATTAAGAAAATGGCATTTAAAATCAGTCATTAAAAAGAAAAGCTAATAAAATAAACATTAAAAGAAAAAATACATGGATAAAAGTTACAGTGCTGTCAATTAAACATTAAAAGAAAAAAGTACATGGATAAAAGTTACAGTGCAGTCTAAGATATGAATAGTTCAATTAAAAGCAGCGACAAAAAGAAAAGTCTTCAGCCTGGATTTAAAAGTAGTCAGAGTTGCAGCGGACCTGCAGGTTTCTGGGAGTTTGTTCCAGATATTTGGAGCATAATAACTGAACGCTGCTTTACCATGTTTAGTTCTGACTCTGGGGACAGAAAGCTGACCAGTCCCTGAAGACCTGAGAGATCTGGATGGTTCATAATTTAGCAGGAGGTCAGAAATGTATTTTGGGCCTAAACCATTCAGTGCTTTATAAACCAGCAGCAGTATTTTGAAATCTATTCTGTGACACACAGGAAGCCAGTGTAAAGACTTCAGAACAGGAGTGATGTGATCCACTTTCTTAGTGTTAGTGAGGACTCGAGCAGCAGCGTTCTGAATTAGCTGCAGCTTCCTAATAGATGTTTTAGTGAGACCTGTGAAGACACCATTGCAGTAGTCGAGTCTACTGAAGATAAAAGCATGGACAAGTTTTTCCAAATCCTGCTGTGACATTAGTCTTTTAATCCTAGATATATTCTTTAGGTGATAGTAGGCTGATTTAGTAACAGTTTTAATGTGACTGTTGAAACTCAGGTCAGAGTCCATGACTACACCTAGATTTCTGGCTTTATCTGTTGTTTTGAACATTGCACACTGAAGCTCAGCGCTAACTTTTATACGTTCTGCCTTGGCTCCAAAAACCATTACCTCAGTTTTATCTTTGTTTAATTGGAGAAAGTTCTGACACATCCAGTCATTGATTTGTTCAATGCACTTACTCAGTGTTTGAATTGGAGCATAGTCTCCTGGTGAAATTGTTACGTAAATTTGTGTGTCATCTGCATAGCTATGGTAACTTATTTTGTTGTTCTTCATTATCTGAGCCAGTGGTAGCATGTAGATGTTAAAGAGAAGAGGCCCCAAGATGGAGCCTTGAGGAACCCCACATGTCATATTTGTCAACTCAGATGTGTATTTACCTATAGAAACAAAGTTGTTTCTGTCCTTTAAGTAGGATTCAAACCAATTCAGAACTGTTTCCGAAAGTCCCACCCAGTTCTCCAGTCGGTCTAGTAATATGCTGTGGTCAACAGTGTCAAACGCAGCACTGAGATCTAATAATACTAACACTGAAGTTCTGCCACTGTCTGTGTTTAAGTGGATGTCATTAAAGACCTTTACAAGAGCAGTCTCAGTGCTGTGGTTTGGACGAAAGCCTGACTGGAACACATCAAAACAGTCATTTAAATGCAAGAAATTACTCAACTGTTGAAAAACAACTTTTTCAATGATTTTACCTAGAAATGGGAGGTTTGATATGGGCCTGTAATTGTTCATTACTGAAGCATCTAGATTATTCTTTTTTAAGAGCGGTTTAATGACTGCAGTTTTCAGGGCCTGTGGAAAAATACCTGAGTGAAGAGATTTGTTTACTATATGAAGTAGATCTGAGGCCATGCAAGGCAAAACATCTTTGAAAAATCCTGTTGGAATAATATCAAGGCAGCAGGAGGAGGATTTCAGAAGTTGAATAATGTCCTCTAGGTTTTTATCATTAATCTGATGGAATTGTGTCATGATGTCTGAATTGATGTTATTAGCCACCGTTATTAGCCACATTAGCCACCTTTAGCTTAGCGGTGGTGACTTGAAGTCATGTGACCGTGCTCTAGTTCCTTTACAGCCCAACATTAGCCTCTTTTAGCTTAGCGGTGGTGACGTGAAGTCATGCGACCGTGCGTTAGTTCCTTGAAAGCCTAACGTTAGCTTTTTACTTCAGAAACCATAAAGTAGTGTTACTATGTGGAGATTATCCTGCTGAACTAAACGTGTAAGCATCATAAACATTTGTTTGATACAGAGATTATCTTCTGCTATAATCCAAAATCACATTGAGAAAATCCCATTGGCTTTTTGTGGAGGGAACAAGGGAGATGCTAACTTCCTGGCTTTTGGTACAGCTTTAAAAAAATCCTAAAGTGAGTATTTCTCACCTGTGTAGTGTCCGCCGTGCATTCCTCCGTGGTGGTTGCACACGGCGTACAGATCGTACAGGAAGTCAGGTGGAGTTGGGTCAGATCGGCGGGACGGTTTCAATCCCTGCTGCTGGTGCTGGTTCGACTGGTGTTTTGTGTTCGACTGGTGGTTTGTGTTTGACTGGTGGTTTGTGTTTGACTGGTGGTTTGGGTTTGACTGGTGGTTTGGGTTTGACTGGTGGTTTGGGTTTGACTGGTGGTTTGTGTTTGACTGGTGGTTTGTGTTTGACTGGTGGTTTGGGTTTGACTGGTGGTTTGGGTTTGATTGGTGGTTTGTGTTTGACTGGTGGTTTGGGTTTGACTGGTGGTTTGGGTTTGACTGGTGGTTTGGGTTTGACTGGTGGTGGTTGTTGTGGTTTCGGGTCACCATGTGTGGCGTCATGTCCAGGCCGGTCAGGGGGAATTGAACGAAGGTGGTGAGTTTGTTCCTCCGGTCGCCCACCTGTCTGAAGCGCTTCAGGTGGAGGATGAGGATGTCCGGCAGCGTCCACAGATTCATCTTCACCGTGCCCTGCTGCAGCTGCTGACAGTGGGGACACTTCCAGGCATCATCGGGGGCCAACTGGAGGGTGGAGGAAAGAGAACATAAATACACATTCAAATACTGATTCAGCTCCAGATAAAACCGTAAAAGTAAGCCTTTAAAGAGTCCTCTCCTGCTGATGTTCAGGTGTATATCAGTATGTAGTGTCTCTACTTTAAAGAGTCCTCTGCTGCTGATGTTCAGGTGCATATCAGAATGTAGTGTCTCTACTTTAAAGAGTCCTCTCCTGCTGATGTTCAGGTGTATATCAGTATGCAGTGTCTCTACTTTAAAGAGTCCTCTCCTGCTGATGTTCAGGTGTATATCAGAATGTAGTGTCTCTACTTTAAAGAGTCCTCTCCTGCTGATGTTCAGGTGTATATCAGTATGTAGTGTCTCTACTTTAAAGAGTCCTCTCCTGCTGATGTTCAGGTGTATATCAGAATGTAGTGTCTCTACTTTAAAGAGTCCTCTCCTGCTGATGTTCAGGTGTATATCAGTATGTAGTGTCTCTACTTTAAAGAGTCCTCTCCTGCTGATGTTCAGGTGTATATCAGTATGTAGTGTCTCTACTTAAAGAGTCCTCTCCTGCTGATGTTCAGGTGTATATCAGTATGTAGTGTCTCTACTTTAAAGAGTCCTCTCCTGCTGATATTCAGGTGTATATCAGTATGTAGTGTCTCTACTTTAAAGAGTCCTCTCCTGCTGATGTTCAGGTGTATATCAGTATGTAGTGTCTCTACTTTAAAGAGTCCTCTCCTGCTGATGTTCAGGTGTATATCAGTATGTAGTGTCTCTACTTTAAAGAGTCCTCTCCTGCTGATGTTCAGGTGTATATCAGTATGTAGCGTCTCTACTTTAAAGAGTCCTCTCCTGCTGATGTTCAGGTGTATATCAGTATGTAGTGTCTCTACTTTAAAGAGTCCTCTCCTGCTGATGTTCAGGTGTATATCAGTATTTAGTGTCTCTACTTTAAAGAGTCCTCTTCTGCTGATGTTCAGGTGTATATCAGTATGTAGTGTCTCTACTTTAAAGAGTCCTCTCCTGCTGATGTTCAGGTGTATATCAGTATGTAGTGTCTCTACTTTAAAGAGTCCTCTCCTGCTGATGTTCAGGTGTATATCAGTATTTAGTGTCTCTACTTTAAAGAGTCCTCTCCTGCTGATGTTCAGGTGTATATCAGTATGTAGTGTCTCTACTTTAAAGAGTCCTCTCCTGATGATGTTCAGGTGTATATCAGTATGTAGTGTCTCTACTTTAAAGAGTCCTCTCCTGCTGATGTTCAGGTGTATATCAGTATGTAGTGTCTCTACTTTAAAGAGTCCTCTCCTGCTGATGTTCAGGTGTATATCAGTATGTAGTGTCTCTACTTTAAAGAGTCCTCTCCTGCTGATGTTCAGGTGTATATCAGTATGTAGTGTCTCTACTTTAAAGAGTCCTCTCCTGCTGATGTTCAGGTGTATATCAGTATGTAGTGTCTCTACTTTAAAGAGTCCTCTCCTGCTGATGTTCAGGTGTATATCAGTATGTAGTGTCTCTACTTTAAAGAGTCCTCTCCTGCTGATGTTCAGGTGTATATCAGTATGTAGTGTCTCTACTTTAAAGAGTCCTCTCCTGCTGATGTTCAGGTGTATATCAGTATGTAGTGTCTCTACTTTAAAGAGTCCTCTCCTGCTGATGTTCAGGTGTATATCAGTATTTAGTGTCTCTACTTTAAAGAGTCCTCTCCTGCTGATGTTTAGGTGTATATCAGTATGTAGTGTCTCTCCTTTAAAGAGTCCTCTCCTGCTGATATTCAGGTGTATATCAGTATGTAGTGTCTCTACTTTAAAGAGTCCTCTCCTGCTGATGTTCAGGTGTATATCAGTATGTAGTGTCTCTACTTTAAAGAGTCCTCTCCTGCTGATGTTCAGGTGTATATCAGTATGTAGTGTCTCTACTTTAAAGAGTCCTCTCCTGCTGATGTTCAGGTATATATCAGTATGTAGTGTTAACCTGTATTAATCTACGAAGGGGAAATTAATTGATGCATGAAGTTTGGAAATTCAAAGTCCTTGTGAGCTCCAGTTTAAACAGGAAGTACATTTGGAATCTGTTGCCATGGCTTCTCCTTCTCCTCCTTGTGACACTTTGAATAATCTGCAGTAATCAGTGGACCCACCGAACAAAACACTCCTGCTGTTGGTGGAAATGAATTCGTCTCGATTGTCTTCACTTATTCCAACAAAACACAACCAAGGCCAATGCGGAATGCTCTTCCACTTGAACTCATTCCCACTCCTCTTGACACACGGTTACTAAGTATGGTGAAGCCTAACACAATCCAACATGACCTCAAACTAAAGCACATAAAGGAATAAGAAATGTAAAAAGCGTAGCCTCCTTATTGACAACACCGAGCGCTTTATTATCTCGGGAACGTTTAGTAATTGTAATGGATGTTTCATCGCTCTGATTCAAAGTGGTTTCACTCCCCCGTTGTTCTCATGAAGGTCGAAGGCTTTTTGAAGCAGGTGCAAAATGATCAGATGCAATGAACGCTAGATGCAGACTTTAGAGTTGCAAACAAGATGGTTTTCCTCAGGTTTATTGCAAAATAATGTAATATTGTACGCATGAATGAATGAATGCTCTGGAGCAGCCTTCCTCGACATTGAGAGACACCCTGTGATTTAAGAAGTGGTGTCTTCATGTTTCCCAGAGCTGTAATTAATACAAGTTGATCTTAATAGCAAGTTTAAGGCTTTTTTTATTATCATTTCTGAACAACAAGGTCCTGTTATTTTAGTCTTGAGTTTAAGTTAATGCTAAATGCCTAAATTAAAAACAATAATGAAACATATGGTAACGATATCTGCGGTGTAACTTTGGGTCATTTAGTTCACGGTAGAATTGGGCGGCAAATGTTGTTTCCGTTAGAAAGGCTGTGAATGCTTTTGAAAAATGTGAGAACAAATGTGTTAAAGACTAAATGCACTGAAGAGGTTTTCCTGTCCGTTGCAAACAACCTTAATATAATCTCATAATGTATGTTGTGTTCTCAGTGCTTTGAGATGGGTTCCAGCTAATTGTGTGTGTGTCAGTGTGTGTGAGAGAGGGTGCAGCGACCTCATCTTAGAAGACAAAGGAGAAGATAGTTATGATGTTATTTTTTCATATTTTTAAGCTTAGATACATAGAAACACATTTTAACAAGTCTCTCATCTGCCACAATAAAAAAAGGATTCTTAAACTCCCAAAACAATTTAGCATCCATTAATATGGGCAAATAAAGAGTGCATGTTGTGAACATTAAGTGTAACATATTGATTAGTCGGCCCATTTAGAGCCTTATTGGTGAGTCCTGACTGATTATAGACCCTTCAGGAGTGACATGTGTGAGCCTGCAGCGCCACACAGTGGAGACACAAGGAAACAACAAGAGTCAATGGCGTAAAATGTTGAATAAAAGATCAAATAAAGCAGAAAATGTGTATAAAAATAAGCAGTTAAAGGAATAATGCGCAATAAAAATATATAAAAAAATGAAGACATTTTTATAAATGTAAAAAGTAAAGTATATAATAAATTAAAAAATATTTAAAAAATGAAGACATTTTTATAAATTAAAGTAAAAAGTAAACACAAAATAAAACGGAGAAAAAAATAATGTTAACTGAAAAAGTTAAATAAAAAATAATTCAAGAAATAAAATAAAAATCTGCATGTTTTTGGGTCATTTTGATGCGTTAGTGAAATTCAAACTGGAAACATGTAGACACAAACGTCTATTGTAGGGAGTATACAACCCCACTTCAAACGACGCCTTCAAAAGTCCCTTTGAAATATCGTAATGATCAAATACTGAGTCTTTGTTCCTTTGAAGCCCCATGGAGTCCAGGGGCTGGATGTCATAACATGCAGAAAGGCTGAACCTGTGACCACAACTTCAGGAGGCTCGTGGTGGTGGGACACACAGCTGTTATGTGTGTGTGCGACCTGTTAGCTGTTAACAGGTGGGTTCAGGTGATAACCTCACCTGCTCCTCCTTGGTGTAGAGCTGGAAACACTCGTCCAGGCTGCAGCTGAACTGATGGACATTCTGCTGACTCCTCCCACTCTCTGACTGCTGCACCACCTCCTCCTGGATGTTCCCAAACACACTGCACACACACACACACACACACACACACACACACACACACACACACACACACACACACACACACACACACACACACACACACACACACACACACACACACACACACACACACACACACACACGTCTGGGTTTATGTTGGGTTCATAAGATGTAAGCGATTTGAGCACCAGGAAAAGCGCTATATATATAACATGTTTTATTATGATTATGGAGATATGAAGTGTTACTGACCAGTCTTTGATGCGGTGCTCCCACTCGATGATCAGCTTCACATGAGGAGGTCCTCCTGAGCCGCAGAGCTTCAGAGCTCTAATGTACATATTACAAAGGTTAAATATCATCCAGTGCAGAGGAAGGAGAACCACTAGGTGTCAGCATTACCACAGTTTATAATACAGCAGGAATGAGTGATGTGTGTGAGGGGAAGAGTGTGTGTGTGTGTGTGTGTGTGTGTGTGTGTGTGTGTGTGTGTGTGTGTGTGTGTGTGTGTGTGTGTGTGTGTGTGTGTGTGTTTAGGGGATTTAGCAGTGGATATTTCAGGTAAAGAAATGTATTATAGGCTAAAATATTACATGAAGGTACACTAAAGACTTTGTTATTGTAAGAACAGTCAAAACAAACAAAGTTCCCAGCTCAGAGAATATCTGATTCTTCTTGGATTTTCAGTTTTTATCAGAACAAATATACTTTCACTATATTTTGATGAGAATACTTTTCTACTTTCACTTGAGGAACATTTCGAATGCAGGACTTTTACTGTAACAGAGTATTCCTACACTCTGGTACTTCTACTTTTACTCAAGTACAAGATCTGAGTACTTCTACTGTTACTCAAGTACAAGACCTGAGTACTTCTACTTTTACTCAAGTACAAGATCTGAGTACTTCTACTTTTACTCAAGTACACAATCTGAGTACTTCTACTTTTAAGTACAAGATCTGAGTACTTCTACTTTTACTCAAGTACAAGATCTGAGTACTTCTACTTTACTCAAGTACAAGATCTGAGTACTTCTACTTTTACTCAAGTACACAATCTGAGTACTTCTACTTTTACTCAAGTACAAGATCTGAGTACTTCTACTTTTACTCAAGTACAAGATCTGAGTACTTCTACTTTTACTCAAGTACAAGATCTGAGTACTTCTACTTTTACTCAAGTACAAGATCTGAGTACTTCTACTTTTACTCAAGTACAAGATCTGAGTACTTCTACTTTACTCAAGTACAAGATCTGAGTACTTCTACTTTTACTCAAGTACAAGATCTGAGTACTTCTACTTTTACTCAAGTACACGATCTGAGTACTTCTACTTTACTCAAGTACAATATCTGAGTACTTCTACTTTTACTCAAGTACACAATCTGAGTACTTCTACTTTTACTCAAGTACAAGATCTGAGTACTTCTACTTTTACTCAAGTACAAGATCTGAGTACTTCTACTTTTACTCAAGTACAAGATCTGAGTACTTCTACTTTTACTCAAGTACAAGATCTGAGTACTTCTACTTTTACTCAAGTACAAGATCTGAGTACTTCTACTTTTACTCAAGTACAAGATCTGAGTACTTCTACTTTTACTCAAGTACACAATCTGAGTACTTCTACTTTTACTCAAGAACAAGATCTGAGTACTTCTACTTTTACTCAAGTACAAGATCTGAGTACTTCTACTTTTACTCAAGTACAAGATCTGAGTACTTTCCACCTCTGTCAGTGTAAAGATTTGTAAAGATATATAAAATGTCTACACATTTCAGTCAATGCTGTAAATCGTATCTAATGATATACATAAAACCAATATAACCCCCTTATCCAGAACATCTGTAGAGTCCGTGGCAATCATTTAAATACTCAGGACGTTACAACGTTAACCTGGAGCTACAGTACAAGACACACTTTATCAGATAAGAGACGATCTAAATTGCATTTAAATTGATCACATTAGATAACATCTAAATGAGCCGGTGGGAACATCGGGTCGTTTCAGTGCTGAACGTTTGGACTGTTCCTCCATGACTACAACAAAAGAACAGATTTAGAATCATCGAATACAGGGCTTCTCAAACTTTGTTCAGTAGTGTACCCCCTTTGAAACATTTTCTCAGCCAAGTACCCCCTGACCGACCCCGGACATTTTTGACAGAAAAAGCCTATTTAAATAATTACAATCGAGTGATGTTCCCTCAGTGTTTGATGTATTAACTCCTTCATGCATGAATTACAACAAACTAAGGATATTTTCATCTTTATGCATGAAAACAAAGATTTTTCCAAGGAGTTTTTCAATTGAATTAATATATGTTTAACAAACCAATGAACAAAATGATATATTATTAAAAACTATAAATACAATACACAAATGTAACATGTTTATATGAGAACCACCTTAGTGGTTCTAGGAATATTTTATATACAATTGTATTTTCCATTTAACTTATTGTACTAAGATTATTTTTGTAATCATGCATGGTCTTTTTTTACCTCACGTACCCCCTGCAGTACCCCAACGTACCCCTAGGGGTCCGTGTACCCCCATTTGAGAATCATTGATCTAATAGTTCCTCTAGTCTAATAACAGACGTCTAAAGTGTGCAGACAGACGTTCAGCTGCACAGAAAACTCTGATGCTCACAGGAATATATCTAACCTGGTTAAATGTTGAGGTACTTTTACTTTAGCGGAGTATTTTCACAGTATGCTACTTCGTACTTCTACATGTCAGAAGTCAGTATTGTACTTTTTCTCCTCTACATTTTGCTTTTTAGAGATTCAGTTTGTTAGCCACTACCAGAGGTGGGAAGTAGTGGAGTACAAATACTTTGCTACTGTACTTGAGTACATGTTTCTGGTATCAGTACTTTACTCCACTACTTATTTTTCTGACGACTTTTTACTTTGACTTCTTACAAATACCTGCTACATGTTGAACCCAAATACCTGTACTTTCTACTTCTTACATGTTGAACACAATACCTGTACTTTCTACTTCTCACATGTTGAACACAAATACCTGTACTTTCTACTTCTTACATGTTGAACCCAAATACCTGTACTTTCTACTTCTTACATGTTGAACACAAATACCTGTACTTTCTACTTCTTACATGTTGAACACAAATACCTGTACTTTCTACTTCTTACATGTTGAACACAAATACCTGTACTTTCTACTTCTCACATTTGAACACAAATACCTGTACTTCTACTTCTACAACGTTGAACTCAAATACCTGTACTTTCTACTTCTCACATGTTGAACTCAAATACCTGTACTTTCTAATTCTTACACGTTGAACTCAAATACCTGTACTTTCTACTTCTTACATGTTGAACCCAAATACCTGTACTTTCTACTTCTTACATGTTGAACTCTAATACCTGTACTTTCTACTTCTTACATGTTGAACTCTAATACCTGTACTTTCTACTTCTTACATGTTGAACACAAATACCTGTACTTTCTACTTCTTACATGTTGAACCCAAATACCTGTACTTTCTACTTCTTACATGTTGAACACAAATACCTGTACTTTCTACTTCTTACATGTTGAACACAAATACCTGTACTTTCTACTTCTTACATGTTGAACACAAATACCTGTACTTTCTACTTCTTACACGTTGAACTCAAATACCTGTACTTTCTACTTCTCACATGTTGAACTCAAATACCTGTACTTTCTAATTCTTACACGTTGAACTCAAATACCTGTACTTTCTACTTCTTACATGTTGAACCCAAATACCTGTACTTTCTACTTCTTACATGTTGAACTCTAATACCTGTACTTTCTACTTCTTACATGTTGAACTCAAATACCTGTACTTTCTACTTCTCACATGTTGAACACAAATACCTGTACTTTTCTACTTCTTACATGTTGAACTCAAATACCTGAACTTTCTACTTCTTACATGTTGAACACAAATACCTGTACTTTCTACTTCTTACATGTTGAACACAAATACCTGAACTTTCTACTTCTTACATGTTGAACTCTAATACCTGTACTTTCTACTTCTTACATGTTGAACCCAAATACCTGTACTTTCTACTTCTCACATGTTGAACACAAATACCTGTACTTTCTACTTCTTACATGTTGAACTCAAATACCTGTACTTTCTACTTCTTACATGTTGAACTCAAATACCTGTACTTTCTACTTCTTACATGTTGAACACAAATACCTGTACTTTCTACTTCTTACATGTTGAACACAAATACCTGTACTTTCTACTTCTTACATGTTGAACACAAATACCTGTACTTTCTACTTCTTACATGTTGAACCCAAATACCTGTACTTTCTACTTCTCACATGTTGAACTCAAATACCTGTACTTTCTACTTCTTACATGTTGAACTCAAATACCTGTACTTTCTACTTCTTACATGTTGAACACAAATACCTGTACTTTCTACTTCTTACATGTTGAACTCAAATACCTGTACTTTCTACTTCTCACATGTTGAACTCAAATACCTGTACTTTCTACTTCTTACATGTTGAACTCAAATACCTGTACTTTCTACTTCTTACATGTTGAACTCAAATACCTGTACTTTCTAATTCTTACACGTTGAACTCAAATACCTGTACTTTCTACTTCTTACATGTTGAACCCAAATACCTGTACTTTCTACTTCTTACATGTTGAACCCAAATACCTGTACTTTCTACTTCTAACATGTTGAACTCTAATACCTGTACTTTCTACTTCTTACATGTTGAACTCAAATACCTGTACTTTCTACTTCTTACATGTTGAACTCTAATACCTGTACTTTCTACTTCTTACATGTTGAACTCAAATACCTGTACTTTCTACTTCTCACATGTTGAACTCTAATACCTGTACTTTCTACTTCTCACATGTTGAACTCAAATACCTGTACTTTCTACTTCTTACATGTTGAACTCAAATACCTGTACTTTCTACTTCTTACATGTTGAACCCAAATACCTGTACTTTCTACTTCTTACATGTTGAACTCAAATACTTGTACTTTCTACTTCTTACATGTTGAACCCAAATACCTGTACTTTCTACTTCTTACATGTTGAACTCAAATACTTGTACTTTCTACTTCTTACATGTTGAACCGAAATACCTGTACTTTCTACTTCTCACATGTTGAACACAAATACCTGTACTTTCTACTTCTTACATGTTGAACTCAAATACTTGTACTTTCTACTTCTTACATGTTGAACCCAAATACCTGTACTTTCTACTTCTTACATGTTGAACACAAATACCTGTACTTTCTACTTCTTACATGTTGAACACAAATACCTGTACTTTCTACTTCTTACATGTTGAACTCAAATACCTGTACTTTCTACTTCTTACATGTGAACACAAATACCTGTACTTTCTACTTCTTACAGGTTGAACTCAAATACCTGTACTTTCTACTTCTTACATGTTGAACTCAAATACCTGTACTTTCTACTTCTTACATGTTGAACATCAAATACCTGTACTTTCTACTTCTTACATGTTGAACACAAATACCTGTACTTTCTACTTCTTACATGTTGAACTCAAATACCTGTACTTTCTACTTCTTACATGTTGAACACAAATACCTGTACTTTCTACTTCTTACATGTTGAACTCAAATACCTGTACTTTCTACTTCTTCCATGTTGAACTCAAATACCTGTACTTTCTACTTCTCACATGTTGAACTCAAATACCTGTACTTTCTACTTCTTACATGTTGAACTCAAATACCTGTACTTTCTACTTCTTACATGTTGAACTCAAATTCCTGTACTTTCTACTTCTTACATGTTGAACATCAAATACCTGTACTTTCTACTTCTTACATGTTGAACTCAAATACCTGTACTTTCTACTTCTTACATGTTGAACTCAAATACCTGTACTTTCTACTTCTTACATGTTGAACTCAAATACCTGTACTTTCTACTTCTTACATGTTGAACTCAAATACATGTACTTTCTACTTCTTACATGTTGAACTCAAATACATGTACTTTCTACTTCTTACATGTTGAACTCAAATACATGTACTTTCTACTTCTTACATGTTGAACACAAATACCTGTACTTTCTACTTCTCTCATTTTCCAAACAGCTGGTTCCTTTAGTCTGAATGTGTGTTTGATGCGTGATCATTATTCTTTAGAGTCATTGCGTGCCTATTGATCTGAACACGATCCGTGTATCCATCATTTCCTGGTCTTCTCTAAAGAAGAGGGACCAATGGAAACGTTGTCATGTTGCCGTTGTTCAGCATGGAAACATTCATTAGCTAACAATGACATTATTGTTCTATTAATATAAAGGGAGGTCAGGTACTCTTTAAAACAGCTGCTAGTTATGGGTACTTTCTACTGAAGTACACTTCAAAGACCTCTTTACTTTGACTAGAGTAAAGGATGTGTGTACTTTTACAATCTCTGAATGTGTGTCTCAGGTGTGTTTTGTCTCACCTGTCCACAACAGGGTGGTGCAGCGGCCGTCCGTCCTGAGGGGACAGGTAGCTGTGAAACACCGAGCCCCCCACCACACGGACGTTGAACATCACTCTGATGTTCTGGAAGACAAAGACACTTCTGTAAAGACATCAGGGGACATTAATGCTTTCATAATAACCCAGTAATTACCCTCCAATGAGCCACTACTGTAACCCAGGTACGCTCAACACAAACACACCTGTTCACTCTCCTGGCTCCAACACGGTGGAACGAGCGATCCATTGATGTCAGGACAGCGGAGAGTCTAATGTTCTTCAATGAACACTGGAAACCCAGCTGTTCGGACTGTACCTTAGACATTAAACCCACCACTTTAAGGGTTTAGCCCGTTTGAAACTAATGCATCAGCTCTGACAATGGGTTGGCTTATTGAAGTGAAGATATCTGCATTTTGGTTGAGTTGTTTCTTCTAGCTTTAGTGCACACATCAACATGTGTCCCCTCTTCTTCATGTCTCTTCTACATCAACATGTGTCCCCTCTTCTTCATGTCTCTTCTACATCAACATGTGTCCCCTCTTCTTCATGTCTCTTCTACATCAACATGTGTCCCCTCTTCTTCATGTCTCTTCTATCACAAGTGTCCCTCTTCTTCATGTCTCTTCTACATCAACATGTGTCCCCTCTCTTCATGTCTCTTCTACATCAACATGTGTCCCCTCTTCTTCATGTCTCTTCTACATCAACATGTGTCCCCTCTTCTTCATGTCTCTTCTACATCAACATGTGTCCCCTCTTCTTCATGTCTCTTCTACATCAACATGTGTCCCCTCTTCTTCATGTCTCTTCTACATCAACATGTGTCCCCTCTTCTTCATGTCTCTTTACATCAACATGTGTCCCCTCTTCTTCATGTCTCTTCTACATCAACATGTGTCCCCTCTTCTTCATGTCTCTTCTACATCAACATGTGTCCCTCTTCTTCATGTCTCTTCTACATCAACATGTGTCCCCTCTTCTTCTTGTCTCTTCTACATCAACATGGTCCCCTCTTCTTCATGTCTCTTCTACATCAACATGTGTCCCCTCTTCTTCATGTCTCTTCTACATCAACATGTGTCCCCTCTTCTTCATGTCTCTTCTACATCAACATGTGTCCCCTCTTCTTCATGTCTCTTCTACATCAACATGTGTCCCTCTTCTTCATGTCTCTTCTACATCAACATGTGTCCCCTCTTCTTCATGTCTCTTCTACATCAACATGTGTCCCCTCTTCTTCATGTCTCTTCTACATCAACATGTGTCCCCTCTTCTCCATGTCTCTTCTACATCAACATGTGTCCCCTCTTCTCATGTCTCTTCTACTCAACATGTGTCCCCTCTTCTCCATGTCTCTTCTACATCAACATGTGTCCCCTCTTCTCCATGTCTCTTCTACATCAACATGTGTCCCCTCTTCTTCATGTCTCTTCTACATCAACATGTGTCCCCTCTTCTTCATGTCTCTTCTACATCAACATGTGTCTCCTCTTCTTCATGTCTCTTCTACATCAACATGTGTCCCCTCTTCTCCATGTCTCTTCTACATCAACATGTGTCCCCTCTTCTTCATGTCTCTTCTACATCAACATGTGTCCCCTCTTCTTCATGTCTCTTCTACATCAACATGTGTCCCCTCTTCTCCATGTCTCTTCTACATCAACATGTGTCCCCTCTTCTCCATGTCTCTTCTACATCAACATGTGTCCCCTCTTCTTCATGTCTCTTCTACATCAACATGTGTCCCCTCTTCTTCATGTCTCTTCTACATCAACATGTGTCCCCTCTTCTTCATGTCTCTTCTACATCAACATGTGTCCCCTCTTCTTCATGTCTCTTCTACATCAACATGTGTCTCCTCTTCTTCATGTCTCTTCTACATCAACCATTTTGACTGCAAGGAATCTTGGGAGGACACATTATATCATGTATTTAGCTGCATGCAGTAACTTTTTATGATCTGAGTACTTCTACTTTACAGTAAGTTTCTTTAGATAAAGCACCAGCTAAATGTAATGTAATATGTCCTCATGGATTCAGTCAAAAAGGCAGAACTCGAACCCAAACTTCAGCGTTTAAAGGAACAGCAGCATGTCTCCTGATCTGCTCAGTTGGAGACTTCAGATCCTACAATGGGCTGAAAGTGAATAAAAGAAGGCTCGGTGAGGGTTCATATGATTTATGAAGTACTGACAAGTCCCTTCTGATTCAAGCAATGAACGTGCAGTTTTTTTTAGATTAAATCAGGTTTGTCTGGCTTTCTATCTCGAGATTTACAACCACCTCTTACTTCCCATCATGCAACCTGGCAGGTCCTCTAGCTCTTAAAGCGTCTCCTTTTATCAGAAGACACAAAGGGGTCAACTTTATGTAACGTCTGCTGCTAAAGCGACACCAAGAGAGGAAAGTGGGTCATCATGAGATATAGACCACAACCTGCACCTGGCAGTTTGAGCTAACAGCAGATTAGCATGTAGCATCTCCATGTATAACACACAACTGGTAAAGACATGTTTAATAAACCCAGAGATAATCGGACGACTGGACTGAAAAGCCAGGTTGAGGAGAACAAAGGAATAACATATGAAGCTAATACCTTTGTCCTCTGTTGAAGCCTGTCTTTATTACTCTGAGATCTGCGTGGATTGGAGGTGCTTTAGGAGAAGGAGCGCTTGGCAAACAAAATGAAATAGATTTTCTCTTTCTGCTGTGAAGTCCTGAGAGGATCTGCTGGCTCAAACACTAGCTCTCACTCTGCAGGGTCTCTGAGGAGCGGCTCATTCCTGGAAGATATTGATATGTTGATCACAAGAGGAACGCTCCAGTCTCAGGGGGGGAGTTACACAATACTTCTGAGTTACTGCGTCTAACGTGGGACATACAGTACTATTTAAAGTATGTCAGTATCATGAGGGCCAGTAAGAGGACAAAATACTGCGGCTGCGGCTCAGTGGATAGTGTGCTGGACTTCGAATCAGGGGGTAGCAAGTTCGAGTCCCACTGCAGTCAGCATGTCGTTGTGTTGACACTTCACCCCAAAGTGCTCCTGTGGGGATTGTCCACAGTACTGAATGTATGTTAGTCGCTTTGGATAAAAGCGTCTAACAAATTACATGTAATGTAATGTAACACTGCAGCGGTTGGAGGCTGTTTTAACACTTTTACAGGAAGAAAAGGGTACGAGTGTGAGGACCATTTTGTTTGTTTGTTTGGTGTAACGTAAACTGCAAAAGTTAGCATGTCATTAGGTCACTTTATAATCGCGCTGTATGGTGGAAGTAGCCAGATTAAATTGGAAGCCTAACTTCTTCAACAGGTAGGAATTGGAAAGGCATTGTCTATCTAAATATACAATCTATGGTGTGCGTATATATGTTTATTTTCCAACAGTATAGGAGGCAGGTAAGGGGGATGTGAAAGACCCAAATCCAGGAGGCGTGAAGACTTCAAAGAGATTACAGATATGTAAAGGTCCAGACAAGGCGAACAAAGCAGAACAGAACCGAGGTTGCACGACATACAAGGACCCGGCAAAGACTAACAGAAAGCCAATACTTCAACAGAAGGTCAGCAGCTGGTCGCAGGTCTAACGGGGAACAGGTGGAGCTAATAAGGCCAGAACACACAATCAATACGGGTGGGAAGCACACAAAGACAGGAGGCAAAAGCTGACAGGACACAGGGGACGAAGACTAAATCAAATACACAAACTCCGACACCAGGATCATGACCTCAACCAGCACAGAGTTTCATTATATTGCAAGGTGTTGAGAAAGTCTGGAGAGGGTGTGCATGAACACTTATCGGACTATAACATGAGCACTGGTGAAGCATCGGATCACTGTAGCACTGCTTGGTGAGCTTTAGAGCTGCTAAATGAACATGTGAACGCCGCCCTTTGTTTCTGAATTGCCTCTTTGCCGAAGCTAAATTTAGACGAGAGGAATCATCCTCTCGAGTGGAGCATCGATGCAGGAAACTACAGATCCTGCTGGGATGAAAGATTCAGAGCCAACATCTGCTCTGAGAACTGCTTTCTGAGAGGAGGACTGTACGAGTTTAATTAAACGTCTGACAGCAGGGGGCACAGAGGAGGACTCACACCCCCCGCTGTGAAGAAGATGCCTCACTCTTCCTCTCCTGAAAGTCTGAACCAGCACTGAGGAAGATGCAGAGAGACGGTCATCTGCTGCCTTCCTTCTTTATTATGTCAGTATCGGTTCTCGTGTGTCATCTGGCTGCAGAAACACTGATTGGAAATCTGCTTGGCTGCAGGAGGAACAGCATGACACAGCAGGCTGTCACAAGTTAGACACATCTATTGTTCTTTGTTTGGTTTGGCACATATTAGACCCCGGCCACACGAGGACAAAAACGTCTAAACGCATAGGATTAACGCAAACGCAATCACAAACAAGCTTCCGTCCACACGCAATAGTCATCCGGATCGTGTCTGTCCACACGAGACTGCTCCGTTTAGCTCCAACCGCTGGAGAAGCTGCAGTACATGCAGGAGCCTGTACGTGGCGCTGTAACTTCCTCCACAAAAGCAGCGAAGAAGCATGGTTGTCATGGTTGCCCTTCTGTTTATTCTCCGCGGTGGGGGCCGAGGGAACCGGGCAGAGTTTTTCCCCAGTCAACGTGTAATTAAAGTTTAAACCTTCCGACAAAATTATAAAAGTGCCGGTCAAAGGTCTTCTTTGTTATTTATTGAGCTTTAAAACAAATGAATAACGACTCTATATAATATAATAATAAAATACACGGAGCCTCTCTTTTTCCTCCCTCTCTTCGGACAGCGTCAGTCTCAGCAGCTGATCCAGTAATGAGTGACCCGGCCGACAGTAAAAATAAACATATTTATAACTAGGTATTTTGAGAGGTGTCTCCGTCCTGTCGGATTAGACTTCACTCGCGTTTATGTCCATATCGAGAGAAAGATAAATAATCTGAATTCAGTGTGCAGTTTACTTTGACGCGGGGGTGAGCAGCAGAGGTGGGGAGAGGCGGGGCTATTGCGCAATCATTATCAGAAAATGATCGTATAGGGCGCACACACGGAGCTGTTGGACCCCCCAGAGCGTTGCGTATGCCGTTCTATCCACCTTGGGACGCGTTATCGTTTCCTCAGTCGTTTAGTGCCGTATGCGGTCGTCCTCGTGTGGCCGAATGGTCTATATGACACTAAACAGTTACGCAAACGGCCGTTTTTGTCCTCGTGTGGCTGCAGCCTTAAACTCTCCTGTCATTTCAGATCCCGCCTTCCTCCAGGCTCTTGCAATCAGCTCACTCCCCTCACCTGGTCTCCCCAGCCCTTCCCCTCACCTGTTACTCATTCCCTCATTACTCCACAGTATGTATACCACCTCACTCTCACTTGTGCTTTGCCAGATTGTCTTGTCTGTTCTTCCAAGCTCTCCAGTGTTTGATATTTTCTAGCCTAGATTCCTGTCCTGCCCGGTTTTGACCCCTGCCTGCCTGCCTGTATTCGGACCTCGGGTTTCCTGCTGCCCCCTGTTTGGATTTGTTTGCCTTACTGCTGGATTTCCTGGGTTTGACCCTGCCTGTCCCTGACCTGATTAAACTGAACATTTCTGTCGTGTCAGGCTATTGGGTTCTGATCTTATCTTAAAACCTACAATTAAACTACCTAAAAAAAGCAAATGTCATATTTTGAAAGCAAAGAAGAAATATAATATAGTATATAAATAATAACTCATTTAAATAAAGTCCTGCATTGGAAATGTCACTCTAATAAAACAAAAAAAGTGAAATCAGCATATAGTAGTTGTATAGTAGGTATTAGATGTAAAAGTATACACTGCAAAAAACGGTAAATGCCAACTTTCGCTATAAAAAATGAAAAGTGTTTACTTCCTGTCTGCCGGTCTGATTTATCCGACGCCCAGCGCTTTTCCTTTCTCCTTCTCGATCCTCCTTAGCAACGGTCATTTTATAGTCCTTGACAGCGGTCTGTACTACTGGATTAACAACGTGTCACATGTTCTGAATGGACCAATCAGAATCGAGTATTCAACTAAGCCGTGTAATAAAAGTAATTACATCTCAAAGTAAAAGGTCTTGAAGCTCTCCTGGACGACGGACAATCTGCTGTGAGCTTCATCATAATGGAAAAGCCATGAGGTTAAAAAACCTGAGTTAAAAAGTAGATTTCCTTCCACAGCTTAATTATTCCTCACATTAGTGCACAGTCGGTGTGTGTGCAGTACCTGAGCCTGCACCCCGTTGATCATCAGGTAATACAGTTTGCTGAGGATGCTCTGCTGCAGCTGCTCCCAGGAAACAGACCGATCCTCCCTCATCAGGAACGGGGGTCCAAACCTGGAGGAACGTTTATTTATAAAGCACCTTTCAACATAAGGCAATTCAAAGTGCTTTACACAAAATGAAAGACATTACATATACATTACATAGGCCCCCTATTATACTGTTTTCATCAATATATTATATGTTGAATTGATCACCTGCCTCCACAGCCATGAGATTAATCCAAAACATATTTAGGTTTCACGCATTACATTTCAAACCTAATTAAATCCTACCTTCTGCTATCTGTTGGTTTCACAGTTTTGATAAATCAAAGGAAACTGAGAGCCTTCACACTTTCAGACGTGTACCTGTGATGCTCTTCTACAGAGTTAAAAACAACAAGTACAGGAAGTGACTCCAAAGTCATTTTCCTGGCAGACACAGAGTCCTCCAGCTGTCACAGGGATGAGAGCAGTGGGAGGTTTGATCCACGAGAGCGAGGCGTTTGAAGGAGAAAGTGAAACATGGAGGGGATCGGACTGTGGAGAGCTGGGCGGAAGAATTTAATTGTACAACTGCCTGTCATGCCGTACATAAGACAATACAAATATATTGAATCTTGAATATTTTCTCCTCGAAAGGGAACACTTTATTTCATTTAGATTTGACCCAAAGTTACTTTCATTGATCCTCTGGACTGATTTCCACACGGCGCCAGATGCAGAGGTGGGAAGTAGTGCAGTACAAATACTTTGTTACTGTACTTATACATTTTTCTGGTATCAGTACTTTACTCCACTACTTATTTTTCTGACGACTTTTTACTTTGACTTCTTACATTTGAACCCAAATACCTGTACTTTCTACTTCTTACATGTTGAACACAAATACCTGAACTTTCTACTTCTTACATGTTGAACTCAAATAGCTGTACTTTCTACTTCTTACATGTTGAACTCAAATAGCTGTACTTTCTACTTCTTACATGTTGAACTCAAATAGCTGTACTTTCTACTTCTTACATGTTGAACCCAAATACCTGTACTTTCTACTTCTTACATGTTGAACTCAAATACCTGTACTTTCTACTTCTTACATGTTGAACTCAAATACCTGTACTTTCTACTTCTTACATGTTGAACTCAAATAGCTGTACTTTCTACTTCTTACATGTTGAACCCAAATACCTGTACTTTCTACTTCTTACATGTTGAACTCAAATACCTGTACTTTCTACTTCTTACATGTTGAACTCAAATACCTGTACTTTCTACTTGTTACATGTTGAACCCAAATACCTGTACTTTCTACTTCTTACATGTTGAACTCAAATACCTGTACTTTCTACTTCTTACATGTTGAACTCAAATACCTGTACTTTCTACTTCTTACATGTTGAACACAAATACCTGAACTTTCTACTTCTTACATGTTGAACTCAAATACCTGTACTTTCTACTTCTTACATGTTGAACCCAAATACCTGTACTTTCTACTTCTTACATGTTGAACTCAAATACCTGTACTTTCTACTTCTTACATGTTGAACCCAAATACCTGAACTTTCTACTTCTTACATGTTGAACTCAAATACCTGTACTTTCTACTTCTTACATGTTGAACTCAAATACCTGTACTTTCTACTTCTTACATGTTGAACCCAATACCTGTACTTTCTACTTCTTACATGTTGAACTCAAATACCTGTACTTTCTACTTCTACATGTTGAACTCAAATACCTGTACTTTCTACTTCTTACATGTTGAACTCAAATACCTGTACTTTCTACTTCTTACATGTTGAACTCAAATACCTGTACTTTCTACTTCTTACATGTTGAACACAAATACCTGTACTTTCTACTTCTTACATGTTGAACTCCAAATACCTGTACTTTCTACTTCTTACATGTTGAACTCAAATACCTGTACTTTCTACTTCTTACATGTTGAACACAAATACCTGTACTTTCTACTTCTCACATGTTGAACACAAATACCTGAACTTTCTACTTCTTACACGTTGAACTCAAATACCTGTACTTTCTACTTCTTACACGTTGAACTCAAATACCTGTACTTTCTACTTCTTACATGTTGAACACAAATACCTGTACTTTCTACTTCTTACATGTTGAACACAAATACCTGTACTTTCTACTTCTTACATGTTGAACACAAATACCTGTACTTCTACTTCTTACATGTTGAACACAAATACCTGTACTTTCTACTTCTACATGTTGAACCACAATACCTGTACTTTTCTACTTCTTACATGTTTGAACACAAATACCTGTACTTTCTACTTCTTACATGTTGAACACAAATACCTGTACTTTCTACTTCTTACATGTTGAACTCAAACCTGTACTTTCTACTTCTACATGTTGAACATCAAATACCTGTACTTTCTACTTCTTACATGTTGAACACTCAAATACCTGTACTTTCTACTTCTATACATGTTGAACTCAAATACCTGTACTTTCTACTTCTTACATGTTGAACACAAATACCTGTACTTTCTACTTCTCTCATGTTGAACTCAAATACCTGTACTTTCTACTTCTTACATGTTTGAACACAAATACCTGTACTTTCTACTTCTTACATGTTGAACTCAAATACCTGTACTTTCTACTTCTTACATGTTGAACACAAATACCTGTACTTTCTACTTCTTACATGTTGAACACAAATACCTGTACTTTCTACTTCCTACATGTTGAACTCAAATACCTGTACTTTCTACTTCTCACATGTTGAACTCAAATACCTGTACTTTCTACTTCTCACATGTTGAACTCAAATACCTGTACTTTCTACTTCTCACATGTTGAACACAAATACCTGTACTTTCTACTTCTCACATGTTGAACACAAATACCTGTACTTTCTACTTCTCACATGTTGAACTCAAATACCTGTACTTTCTACTTCTCACATGTTGAACACAAATACCTGTACTTTCTACTTCTCACATGTTGAACACAAATACCTGAACTTTCTACTTCTTACAGTTTGAACCCAATACCTGTACTTTCTACTTCTCACATGTTGAACACAAATACCTGAACTTTCTACTTCTTACATGTTGAACACAAATACCTGTACTTTCTACTTCTTACATGTTGAACTCAAATACCTGTACTTTCTACTTCTTACATGTTGAACTCAAATACCTGTACTTTCTACTTCTTACATGTTGAACTCCAAATACCTGTACTTTCTACTTCTTACATGTTGAACTCAAATACCTGTACTTTCTACTTCTTACATGTTGAACCCAAATACCTGTACTTTCTACTTCTTACATGTTGAACTCAAATACCTGTACTTTCTACTTCTTACAAGTTGAACTCAAATACTTGTACTTTCTACTTCTCTCATTTTCCAAACAGCTGGTTCCTTTAGTCTGAATGTGTGTTTGATGCGTGATCATTATTCTTTAGAGTCATTGCGTGCCTATTGATTTGAACACGATCCGTGTATCCATCATTTCCTGGTCTTCTCTAAAGAAGAGGGACCAATGGAAACGTTGTCATGTTGCCGTTGTTCAGCATGGAAACATTCATTAGCTAACAATGACATTATTGTTCTATTAATATAAAGGGAGGTCAGGTACTCTTTAAAACAGCTGCTAGCTATGGGTACTTTCTACTGAAGTATTTAAAAGCCTCTTTACTTTTACTTGAGCAAAGAAGTTTAGTCAGTACTTCTACTTTCACCAGAGTATTTTTAAACACGAGTATCTGTACTTCTACTTGAGTAAAGGATGTGTGTACTTGTACCCTCTCTGGTCTCCATGATTACCTGACGGCTTGCTGTCCCGTCCCAGCAGCGTTGCAGACCAGCAGCAGGATCTTCACTGGGACCCCGTGGTTCAGGAACTCTGAGGATAAAGTCCCAGAGGAAGGTAACCTCTGACTCTCAGGACCCGAGGAGTAAGGAGAGGAGGGGAGGCTGTGGTGGTACCCTGAAGGAACAACACAGGAGAAGGTCAGATATGAGGTGAGGACAAACTGCGAGAGTAAGTGGTTAAATGGACTGACTTTACATACCGCTTTTCTACTTTTTGCAACCCCTCATAGAGCTTTTACATATACACTTCTCTATTCACACACAGGCAGCCATACAAGGTGACACCTGCTCAAGGAGAGTAACATTCACACACACTCACACACCAATTTGGGGATAGATATCTTGCCCAAAGACATGTTGAAAGGGACTGGGAATAGAACCAGTGACTACCACCTGAGCCACAGCCGCCATAGAGTCATTGTTGAGTAACAAGTACAATATTTGCCTAAAATAATTACTAATTTAAAAATAATTAAAACTAGTCATAGGACGGTGGTGGAAGATCCTCTTCTTAAGTTAAAGTAGAAATACTAGGATCTTAAAGTACTCCAATAAAAGTAAAAGGTCTTGGTGGAAAATATATATTATTCTATTTTTATGTTGTAGTTTCTCAATGTTGAGCAAATGTAAGATATTCTCTAAAATACTGACAAGGTTGGCATTAAAGTATTACATTATAACATTACCCTATCATGTGTTTTTAAATGTGAAAATAGCAAGTAAACTATGAGTCTTAAATAAATGTAGTTGTGTAAAAAGTACAAAATGCAGTGGAACAGAAGTATATATAGTAAAAATGATAATACAAGTACAAGTATGTCAAAATAGTAGGCTACTTCGGTACAATACTTGAGTAAATGTACTTTCCACCACTGTCTTAGGAATAGGAGACAGGAGGACAACTAGATAAATTATAATAGATAAAAGCTATTTCTCTGATAAATATTGTTGATATTGATAGCAAACTAATCTCAGATTCTTTTGGCACTTTCAAAGGTGTAAGATATATTTAAGTACATATTTGTTTTTATCTTATATGTTTATTTGTTTTGATAGTTTCCTAATATTTAGCTGAGCGTAAGAATTATATAGTTAAACTTTACTTATGACAATAAAATATCTTGAATATTTTCTCCTTGAAAGGGAACACTACATTTTATTAGATTTTACTTTTAGAAAAGTGCAATAAACCATGAAGATACAACCTCAAAATACCACGAATCCTGCGGGTACATACCCTTTAAATAACCTAATTCTGATTCCAAGTGGAAAATGTGACCCCTAAACTTAACACCTCGAACAGTGAGCAGGAGAACGAGGATGCATAAAGTGGCGAGACAGCAGCTTTCTATTTCGGGAGCGCGAGCGGTGATTCAGAGGGGAGGACAGATGGACCAATGGCTGCCTCTCGCTCTGCAGGAGGTTTTATCTGATGCTGCTTCTGCTCCACATCCTCTCCTGGTGGGGTGCCAAGCAGCAATACTTCATCCTCCACCACCAACACCACCACCCACCGTCTCTATATCAGCAGGAGTGAGACTGACTGAGCTGAAAGCAGAGATTTAAAGATCCTCGTGAAATGTGACGTTCTGCTCACACAGCTGAAAACCTCTGGACTCAGAAGTTCACCGTTATAAATCACACGGTGAATTACACTCGTCGATACGGATAAGAAGGAGGAGAGTGGTGCAGGAATGAGTCGTAAAGTCTGAATTGAGTCAGCATTTTACATTCCCTTGTCTTGGTCTTTTGCAGTTTTTGGTAAGATGACTGAAATAAGGTGAAAAGATTTCAACATGTTGTCATTTTTATTACTATAAATATAATAACTGTTATCTATAAAAACAAGTTAACCTAGAGACCTACAGTAAGGAACAGGATCATTTAAGCCTATCTTTGTCTCCTCTCTTAATTCAATTAAGCTGTCAGTGTGCTACTTAGCTAGCAAACGTTAGCTATCTAGCTAACTAGCAAACGTTAGCTCTAGAGAGCTATCTATCTGACTGTGAAATAAGCTAGCTACTTTACAAGCGAGCTCACTAACAGATTATAGCTTCCAGTGTTTTCCATTTGAACCTATAGAGTGGTTCAGGAATGAGTCCTAGAACCCAAAAATGAGTTAGCATTTTGGCACTTTACTTGTTTGTTTTGACTCTGCTTAGCCCAACATTAGCCTCCTTTAGCTTAGCGGTGGTGACGTGAAGTCATGTGACCGTGCTGTAGTTCCTTTATAGCCCAACATTAGCCACCTTTAGCTTAGCGGTGGTGACGTGAAGTCATGTGACCGTGTTTGTAGTTCCTTTATAGCCCAACATTAGCCTCCTTTAGCTAGCGGTGGTGACGTGAAGTCATGTGACCGTGCTTGTAGTTCCTTTATAGCCCAACATTAGCCTCCTTTAGCTTAGCGGTGGTGACGTGAAGTCATGTGACCGTGCTGTAGTTCCTTTATAGCCCAACATTAGCCACCTTTAGCTTAGCGGTGGTGACGTGAAGTCATGTGATCGTGCTGTAGTTCCTTTATAGCCCAACATTAGCCACCTTTAGCTTAGCGGTGGTGACGTGAAGTCATGTTGGGCAGCCCAACATTAGCCTCCTTTAGCTTAGCGGTGGTGACGTGAAGTCATGTGACCGTGCTGTAGTTTCCTTTATAGCCCAACATTAGCCTCCTTTAGCTTAGCGGTGGTGACTGAAGTCATGTGACCGTGCTGTAGTTCCTTTATAGCCCCCAACATTAGCCACCTTTAGCTTAGCGGTGGTGACTGAAGTCATGTGACCGTGCTGTAGTTCCTTTATAGCCAACTTAGCCGCCTTTAGCTAGCGGTGGTGACGTGAAGTCATGTGACCGTGCTTTAGTTCCTTTATAGCCCACATTAGCCACCTTTAGCTTAGCGGTGGTGACGTGAAGTCATGTGACCGTGCTGTAGTTCCTTTATAGCCCAACATTAGCCGCCTTTAGCTTAGCGGTGGTGACGTGAAGTCATGTGACCGTGCTGTAGTTCCTTTATAGCCCAACAATAGCTTATTCATTCCAGCCATTATATTTATGCTTCAACTATTATAAAATCAAGAAAAATAGTCAGACATCATGTGCTTGTATTTGTGTAAACACCTCTGTTGTTCTGAGACTTCAATGTGCAGACAGATAATGGGATTTCATTTGTTGATTGGGGTGTAGAGAAGATCCTTGAGGGGCAGAGGTGTTTAATTATGGGCTCTCAGATACTCTGCTGTGTTTAGTCTGCTGTTCCTCTGTGTCTGTTTAACGATGAAGAGGAACGATGACCTCACTGACGTCCTGCTGTTTCCTAGAACGAGTCCCAGGTTTCTTCATAATAACAGATTAGGATCAACAGGTTTGTCGGCTAAACAAAGTTAACTTTTGGTGTGTTTTTGGTGTGTTTGGTTGCTCATTTTTCCTTGCTTTGCTGGAGGTGCCTTTTTTCTGTACAGCCATGGGAATTATCCGACAGCGTTAAAACACATCGACGCAAGAGGAAACACAAAATTAGAACTAAAGAAAGAAGTGCATTCAAATCTAGCAAAATATACTTAAAGTACCAAACATAAATTAAATATGCGATAATGTGTTCATCAAAGCTGGTCAAGGTGTATTTAATGACTTTATAAACTGCTGCTGGATATCTAAACCTATAATTGTATGTAAATGTGTATTTATTTATATTTTGTTTACACTATAAATCTGAATCTGTAAACAGCGTGGAGGAAAAAGTACAATACTGGCTTCTGAAATGTCGTAGTGAAGTAGAAGTATAAAGTAGTATAACATGAAAATACTTAAGTTCACTATTTGATCAATGTACTACTCAACCACTACATATATCTCATACTTCTATAATTTCTCACGCTGTAAACAAGGTAGAACTCAGTATCGCAGTGACAGGAGCCTTGAAGAAATGTGCAGGAACACTAACGTTTTCGACAGCAAGCCATAAAAAGGATTTAATAAGTGACGAGAGGAAAGTCGTCTCTGTGTAAATCTCAGTGCGACAGACCGGGAGGTGACCCCTGCTTCAAATTCAGTTTCATGAACACGTTTCTCCGGCTTATGAAAAGGAGATTTCCCCCATAAATTATTCCCACAGCTGTCAGAGGTCGCCGCTCGTTGAAATTACAGAGCATGATTCAAGTTGGTTTTATCACCGGCTTGATTAGAGCGGCATTAATAAATGAAAAGCTGTGCATACTTATCGTTACTCTCATTGTCAGGGTCAACACTCTGCAATCGCAGGGTTAATAACGAAGCTACATGTGGACTGGGATCACTTTGGAATATGTCTACGTCATACAGTGTACAGCTTAAGTATTCATATGTAAAAGTACCTTTTATATAATGTAAAATACAATCTAGAAAACATACTTAAAATATTAAAATAACTATGAAAATGGCCTGGTGTGATATATTATTAAATATATTACATTATTAGGTTGTTTTTATTGTTGCATCAAGTAGCAGTTAACAGGTTGGACTAAAAAAAACTTCTGGTACACAAATTATTCAAGTTTACGACTTTCTTTTTTAACTTTTTGTAATATATACTTTGTTTGTTTGTACTCCTCAAGTACTTCAAAAATATACTTAGGTACAGTTCTTCATGAAATAATGATGGTGTTATAGTAACAATATCCAGTAAAATTGTTGTGACCCAACTCGATCTTATAAGACAAAGATGTCTGATTTATAGTATTCAAAAATAATGTAAGAAAGTTTTCTTTAAGAGGTAGGAAGGTAACGCCATCATTCTTTCCCTTTTGTGTACAGCTGTATTCTCATGTTGCCTTTAAAGGTCCCATGTCATGCTTTTCTGGTTATCACCCGTCCCCTTGTGTTATGAAGCTTTTTCTGCATGTAAACGGTCTGCAGTCACAAACCCTCAAAGTGCACCCTGTAGCGAGTAAAGCTCTAACAGAGAAGACCTGTCTGCTGCCCCAGAACGCCTCGTTGGGGGTTTCTCTTTTTCTTCCTGCAGTGACGTGACCATACCCAAATGGACCCATTGGACCAATAGTGGAGCTCCTCACACACACTCACTCTCTCAGTGGCAAAACTGTGACAGGCTGGGGGGTGCCAGCGGCGAAACTGTGGCGCGCTTACACTGTAGGTGCGCCGCGTTTGGGGGTGCGGGGGGGGGGGTGGGTGGTGCAGGTGCTAGTGGAGCCTCGCAGATGGGGGTGCTGCAGCCCCCTCAGCACCTCCCGCGTCCATTTGCGATGTCTCGATGTCTCGCAGACCCCACGCAGCAAGCAGGAAATGAACCCAGCTCACACTGTCCGCTCCTGGCAGCAGCGAGCCCCGCAACGTCCCGCCAACACGGCCCCCAGACCCCACGCAGCATTCTCATCTGTTTGTCCTTACTGGTGTCATTTTCTGGTTGCTAACAAACGCCATTGTAACACATAATCACTGATGTTTAGCTGTAACGGTGGTGGACTCATCAGAGCACAGTGGGCGAGCTGACCAATCAGAGCACAGTGGGCTCACAGGGAGGGGGGGGGGTGGCAGGAGCTCCAAGGCGTTTAGGACAGAGTGAATACACAGACTTTACAGAGATGCTGTGAGAAACCAATGTGAGTTTGGAACATTGAACAATGTAAATCTATTCGAGTCGACCTCAACGATGGAATTATGATCAGTAGAAATGGCCATGACACGGGAGCTTTAAGAACCCTTAACATCAGGAGGTTTTACATGTAATTGTCGAGTAATGCTCTTTAAAACCCACTGAATTGATGCATCTATCAAATCTATTTTAAGGATACTGACTGCTAATGTGCATGATCATTATAATTAAACCTCTGCATATGTTTTGCACTAATTGCAGGATTATTTTTTCTTCACTTAACATGTGGCTTTATTTAATTTAATCCAAATTGATAACATTTGCACATAAAAACACTTAGATGACCAAACGTAGCTTTAATGAGACCCCTGATGGGAGTTTGATATTTATTTTTAACCCACAACGCTCAGATGTTTTACTTCCATTGAAGCTTTTATGGATAATTGATTAAAGGTCTTTCATATTTAGGAATTGCAGAATGGCGCCAGACATCCTAAAAGCATTACAGATCACTGCTGGGTAGGAATCATTTAATAAAAGGTGCTTTGTAGTAATGTGATGTTTTAATGGCATTTTTGTTTTTGATTGTATAGCTTTGATTTCTCACAAGCAGCAAGGCATACAAATGCTTATGTAAAATAAATAAATAAAGTCTGTTAATATTTCATGTATGCATGTAAATAATTTAACAGGCTGGTCGGATATTTATCAAAAGTAAAACGTTCTTTCTAACATTTAGTACCAAAACAAGTTGTGCTGCCTTTTGAGTTCATATTTACTTTGGGTTTGCTCCAGTTTTGAATACAAAGTTAGTGGAAGAGGGAGAAGGATATTAAATCAAATGAAGTGGTCAAATGTTAAAGAGTCCTCCTCCTGCTGATGTTCAGGTGTATATCAGTATGTAGTGCCTCTACTTTAAAGAGTCCTCTCCTGCTGATGTTCAGGTGTATATCAGTATGTAGTGTCTACTTTAAAGAGTCCTCTCCTGCTGATGTTCAGGTGTATATCAGTAATGAGTGTCTCTACTTTAAAGAGTCCTCTCCTGCTGAGTGTCATGTGTATATCAGTAAATGTAGTGTCTCTACTTTAAAGAGTCCTCTCCTGCTGATGTTCAGGTTGTATATCAGTATGTAGTGTCTCTACTTTAAAGAGTCCTCTCCTGCTGATGATCAGGTGTATCAGTATGTAGTGTCTCTACTTTAAAGAGTCCTCTCCTGCTGATGTTCAGGTGTATATCAGTATGTAGTGTCTCTACTTTAAAGAGTCCTCTCCTGCTGATGTTCAGGTGTATATCAGTATGTAGTGTCTCTACTTTAAAGAGTCCTCCTCCTGCTGATGTTCAGGGTGTATATCAGTATGTAGTGTCTCTACTTTAAAGAGTCCTCTCCTGCTGATGTTCAGGTGTATATCAGTATGTAGTGTCTCTACTTTAAAGAGTCCTCTCCTGCTGATGTCAGGTGTATTCAGTATGTAGTGTCCTCTACTTTAAAGAGTCCTCTCCTGCTGATGTTCAGGTGTATTATCAGTATGTAGTGTCTCTACTTTAAGAGTCCTCTCCTGCTGATGTTCAGGTGTATATCAGTATGTAGTGTCTCTACTTTAAAAGTCCTCTCCTGCTGATGTTCAGGTGTATATCAGTATGTAGTGTCTCTACTTTAAAGAGGCTCTCCTGCTGATGTTCAGGTGTATATCAGTATGTAGTGTCTCTACTTTAAAGAGTCCTCTCCTGCTGATGTTCAGGTGTATATCAGTGAGTAGTGTCTCTACTTTAAAGAGTCCTCTCCTGCTGATGTTCAGGTTATATCAGTATGTAGTGCTCTACTTTAAAGAGTCCTCTCCTAATGATGTTCAGGTGTATATCAGTATGTAGTGTCTCTACTTTAAAGAGTCCTCTCCTGCTGATTTCAGGTGTATATCAGTATGTAGGTCTCTACTTAAAGAGTCCCCTCCTGCTGATGTACAGGTGTATATCAGTATGTAGTGTCTCTACTTTAAAGAGTGCCTCTCCTGCTGATGTTCAGGTGTATATCAGTATGTGTCTCTACTTTAAAGAGTCCCCTCCTGCTGATGTACAGGTGTATATCAGTATGTGTGTCTCTACTTTAAAGAGTCCTCTCCAGCTGATGTTCAGGTGTATATCAGTATGTAGTGTCTCTACTTTAAAGAGTCCTCTCCTGCTGATGTTCAGGTGTATATCAGTATGTAGTGTCTCTACTTTAAAGAGTCCTCTCCTGCTGATGTTCAGGTGTATATCAGTATGTAGTATCTCTATTTAAAGAGTCCTCTCCTGCTGATGTTCAGGTGTATATCACGTATGTAGTGTCTCTACTTTAAAGAGTCCTCTCCTGCGATGTTCAGGTGTATATCAGTATGTAGTGTCTCTATCTTTAAAGAGTCCTCCTCCTGCTGATGTTCAGGTGTATATCAGTTATGTAGTGTCTCTACTTTAAAGAGTCCTCTCCTGCTGATGTTCAGGTGTATATCAGTATGTAGTGTCTCTACTTTAAAGAGTCCTCTCCTGCTGATGTTCAGGTGTATATCATATGTAGTGTCCTCTACTTTAAAGAGTCCTCTCCCTGCTGATGTTCAGGTGTATATCAGATATAGTGTCTCTACTTTAAAGAGTCCTCTTCTGCTGATGTTCAGGTGTATATCAGTATGTAGTGTCTCTACTTTAAAGAGTCCCTCTCCTGCTGATGTTCAGGTGTATATCAGTATGTAGTGTCTCTACTTTAAAGAGTCCTCTCCTGCTGATGTGCAGGTGTATATCAGTATGTAGTGTCTCTACTTTAAAGAGTCCTCTCCTGCTGATGTGCAGGTGTATATCAGTATGTAGTGTCTCTACTTTAAAGAGTCCTCTAATGTATTGAGTATGAACCCCTGCAGGCAGTAAGAACCTGAGGGACAGCACTACACTCACAGGCCTGTAGAGAGAGCAGGTTTGTTTACACCACAGAGAGAGAAACAGGGGGGGGTACACACTGAGAAACACACTTTACATCACTCTCTGAACAACAGAGGCATACATCTGATCTGCTCAGAGGGGGAGTAATTCAAAGAGCCCTTTATGTGCTCTCTAAAGCCCCCTGCAGTACGGAGGACTCCCCCAGGCTTTCATTGACCAAAGTAAATTAATCAAATGTGTTGTTTTGCTTATATCTGTACATGGATTCAAGTTAAAGAAGGGGAAGAATTAATGTTGTACTAGAGGTGGGCAACACATCCGTATCATGTGAGATTTTGGATATCATAATATCACACAAGTGTCGTCTTTCTGTTAAACCTGATTTGTATTTCCACATGTATATCTATTTTTTTATTTTACTCTTTTACTTTTTAATATTATTTTATTTCTATTTCTGTTTATTTCTTCACCTACCTACCTACCTACCTACCTACCTACCTACCTACCTACCTACCTACCTACCTACCTACCTACCTACCTACCTACCTACCTACCTACCTACCTACCATATAGACTCTCCTTGCACTATTTAAACTATTGTATCTGTGTTATTGTGTTGCTGTTGGAGGAGCCTGTGACCTCAGATTTCATTGATATATCTACACTGTAGCTAATGTACAAATGACAATAAAAGCCTTAAATCCTTGCCTGGGTTTTAAAGACTGCAGGATTGTACCTGAGATGCGTGCAGAGCCTCCTCTGATGTAAAGGGGCGGAGCCTGGAAGGCGTAGACCACGTCGTTCTCAGCGATGCTCGTCAGATCCTCCTCGTCGAAGAAGGAGCGATGGAAACCCGTGGAGTAAACCTCCGTCAGGATCACCTACACACACACACACACATTAGTTTCCTTTCAACAGGGCCAAATACTAAAGAATCTCATGAGCGATGTGTCCACATAGCATCGTCTTCTCCAGCGTCTTCTTTCTGCATTTGAACAGACGCTCAGAGCACTTCTAGTTAGACCTTTTTCAACTTCTCAGAAAAGCACAGGTGACGTCACTGTGGACATTGAAGTAAAGCTTGTTTTGACCTCGTCTGTCTCTCCTAAGCTTTATCTATATGACACAAACAGATCAGAACTAAGCTCATTTATTTAAGCAGAGTGTCTGAACCCTGGATGCTGCTGCAGGTAATTGTTGAACTTCTATCTCACGGATCCTACTGCTTCTCTACGGCTGTCAGACTAAGCGCTGAATAAAGTGCTGAGTAAACTTTGACAAATACCAGTCTGTGATTACCCGTCAAGACATATGATACTTTGGTCAAAATACTTCAAATGCCTTTATTTTACTCAAAAATAAGGTTTATTTTGTCTAAATTAGGTCAGAGTTGCCACACAACTTGTGGTAATGAGTTGGAATGAAGTTGGCGCTAAAAGTGTATCCCAGACTTGGATTATCTTTTATATTATACGTTTTATAAACAGTCAGAACACAAAGCATTTGGAGCTCTTGCTCTGTGGACACAGGCTGTGTGAACGTGAACTCTGAACCCACTTGATGGAAAACCATTGCTTGCTTTATTAATCTCTGAGCCGGCTTAATGCATTTCAGACGAGTGGATAAGACTGCCTTACAGCCGACGGCGTGAAATAACTATTTGGCATGTTTTTCTGTTTATTTTGTTGTTGTTCATTATCCCTGTTTATGTCAGTGGAAGAAATAAATCGTAATTAAGATAAATCCGAACTGCCCTCCAGCCCTTCCTCACACTAACTTTAAATGAGCGCTAATTCCTGCAAATAAGTCCCTCTTACGTTATCTCTTTACCAACGGTGAGTTTAAGTTACTAATTGCTCGTCATAATCTAATACTCGTAATATTGGTTGATAAAAGGAACATTTTTGCATAAAAATTGCCATTCTTTCAATTACATTGTTAGATTACACATTTACATAGAAAGCTTTTAGTTTATGGATGTCTAAATGTATGTATAGAGATTAAATATGTCAATATGTTCATGTCAACACACACACACACACACACACACACACACACACACACACACACACACACACACACACAGCAGAAAATAGTCAGGATGAGACCTACAATCACTCTACTCTCTCCTGATCCACGCTGCTGAGTTTTCCTTCTTTGTGGTTAAAAATAAGACGATTTTGGGGTGAATTTGAGTCTTTCTTCCTGCTTCTTGTTACCTGGTCTGGGGAGATTTGTCCCTCGTCAGCCACCATCCTCCTCAGGGTGGCCACGGAGCCGAACAGAGGCACAGCGAGTCCGACCCTCAGGTACCGCTGGCCTTTAGTGCTGAACACCAGAACCACACACAGCCACCTGACAACACACACAATCAGGGGTTAGATCATCAATCAATCAAGGATTTTTTTTAAATGTTGAAGTTGAAAGCATCAATCTGGTGCACTTTGAGAGCAACATTAGGAGCTCTATGGAGACATCTCTCAACACCCAGATGAACTGGAAGCAGATTTACTTTTTCTTTATGGATATTTTACAAATCACTCTCCTTTCAAACTGTATTCTTGTTTATTGATAACAACTTTGTTTTACTGTCATATAGTATTTTATACCTGTTTACTTTATTTTCTTGTTTTTTTATAACTATAATGATCATATAAAGATGTGCCTTTACCTCACTGGTTGGAGAAAAAGCTTCTCATAGTCGTTAGCATAGCTAGCTAACCAGATGCTAATAACAACAAAGTTATTGACTGTATGATCAGTGTGACAGATGAACAGATCGCCACTGGGCTTTCAGCTAAAGACACAGACACGCAAAAACTGCGGCATGTGTACGGCTCCTTATGGGTGCTGCAAGCTCCTTATATCCGTTAGCGCAGCTAGCTAGCACCAGATGCTAACAACAACAATACACGTAAGGTGTGCATGTTCAAATGACAAATGTAGTTGGTGATCCCTGGTCTAGATGGCATTTTAAACTCTGAAACTACGGGATGGCCAAGGACAAAAAATACACATGCGTTAATCGCGTTAAAATAATTATTGGCGTTAACTTGACAGCCCTAATATTTTTATATATCTGAGACCTATGCTATTGCCTAAAAATAGCATGATAGGTGACCTTTAAGCTGTCTGTGGCTCTTTTTCTGCTGTAACAAATGTAAATGTCCCCTCTGTGGAACGAATAAAGGTATTCTGACTGACTCTGACTCTGACTCTGAATCTGATTGCACCGAGGTAAAGGAGAAGAGTTTAGGAAGAGACACACCCAGGGACGGTGGGACATTAAACAACCTCTTATTTTTTGAGCCATTTCTTCTCTCGGACCAGCGAGGGACAAAAGGAGACTTTCATGAATAAATCAATCCACTTTAACATCAATAATAGATTATTAGGACTTATTTTTATGTGTGCCGAATAATGGAATCTCTATTGCATTTTAAAAAACAGTGACCTCTCATGAGGCAGCGCTGACACAGAAAGGGACAAAATGGATCTGTGAATAACCTGAGAGAGACAGGCTGAAGATAAGAGGCATTTAATGGACAAATCAATGTTTATTTGACTGAAATGGAAAGAATGTGTCTTTAAAGAGTCCTCTCCTGCTGATGTTCAGGTGTATATCAGTATGTAGTGTCTCTACTTTAAAGAGTCCTCTCCTGCTGATGTTCAGATGTATATCAGTATGTAGTGTCTCTACTTTAAAGAGTCCTCTCCTGCTGATGTTCAGGTGTATATCAGTATGTAGTGTCTCTACTTTAAAGAGTCCTCTCCTGCTGTAGTTCAGGTGTATATCAGTATGTAGTGTCTCTACTTAAAGAGTCCTCTCCTGCTGATGTTCAGGTGTATATCAGTATGTAGTGTCTGTACTTTAAAGAGTCCTCTCCTGCTGATGTTCAGGTGTATATCAGTATGTAGTGTCTCTACTTTAAAGAGTCCTCTCCTGCTGATGTTCAGATGTATATCAGTATGTAGTGTCTCTACTTTAAAGAGTCCTCTCCTGCTGATGTTCAGGTGTATATCAGTATGTAGTGTCTCTACTTTAAAGAGTCCTCTCCTGCTGATGTTCAGGTGTATATCAGTATGTAGTGTCTCTACTTTAAAGAGTCCTCTCCTGCTGATGTTCAGGTGTATATCAGTATGTAGTGTCTCTACTTTAAAGAGTCCTCTCCTGCTGATGTTCAGGTGTATATCAGTATGTAGTGTCTCTACTTTAAAGAGTCCTCTCCTGCTGATGTTCAGGTGTATATCAGTATGTAGTCTCTCTACTTTAAAGAGTCCTCTCCTGCTGATGTTCAGGTGTATATCAGTATGTAGTGTCTCCACTTTAAAGAGTCCTCTCCTGCTGATGTTCAGGTATATATCAGTATGTAGTGTCTCTACTTTAAAGAGTCCTCTCCTGCTGATGTTCAGGTATATATCAGTATGTAATGTCTCTACTTTAAAGAGTCCTCTCCTGCTAATGTTCAGGTGTATATCAGTGTGTTGTGTCTCTACTTTAAAGAGTCCTCTCCTGCTGATGTTCAGGTGTATATCATTATTTAGTGTCTCTACTTTAAAGAGTCCTCTCCTGCTGATGTTCAGGTGTATATCAGTATGTAGTGTCTCTACTTTAAAGAGTCCTCTCCTGCTGATGTTCAGGTGTATATCAGTATGTAGTGTCTCTACTTTAAAGAGTCCTATCCTGCTGATGTTCAGGTGTATATCAGTATGTAGTGTCTCTACTTTAAAGAGTCCTCTCCTGCAGATGTTCAGGTGTATATCAGTATGTAGTGTCTCTACTTTAAAGAGTCCTCTCCTGCTGATGTTCAGGTGTATATCAGTATGTAGTGTCTCTACTTTAAAGAGTCCTCTCCTGCTGATGTTCAGGTGTATATCAGTATGTAGTGTCTCTACTTTAAAGAGTCCTCTCTTGCTGATGTTCAGGTGTATATCAGTATGTAGCGTCTCTACTTTAAAGAGTCCTCTCCTGCTGATGTTCAGGTGTATATCAGTATGTAGTGTCTCTACTTTAAAGAGTCCTATCCTGCTGATGTTCAGGTGTATATCAGTATGTAGTGTCTCTACTTTAAAGAGTCCTCTCCTGCAGATGTTCAGGTGTATATCAGTATGTAGTGTATCTACTTTAAAGAGTCCTCTCTTGCTGATGTTCAGGTGTATATCAGTATGTAGTGTCTCTACTTTAAAGAGTCCTCTCCTGCTGATGTTCAGGTGTATATCAGTATGTAGTGTCTCTACCTTAAAGAGTCCTCTCCTGCTGATGTTCAGGTGTATATCAGTATGTAGTGTCTCTACTTTAAAGAGTCCTCTCCTGCTGATGTTCAGGTGTATATCAGTATGTAGTGTCTCTACTTTAAAGAGTCCTCTCCTGCTGATGTTCAGGTGTATATCAGTATTTAGTGTCTCTACTTTAAAGAGTCCTCTCCTGCTGATGTTCAGGTGTATATCAGTATGTAGTGTCTCTACTTTAAAGAGTCCTCTCCTGCTGATGTTCAGGTGTATATCAGTATGTAGTGTCTCTACTTTAAAGAGTCCTCTCCTGCTGATGTTCAGGTGTATATCAGTATGTAGTGTCTCTACTTTAAAGAGTCCTCTCCTGCTGATGTTCAGGTGTATATCAGTATGTAGTGTCTCTACCTTAAAGAGTCCTCTCCTGCTGATGTTCAGGTGTATATCAGTATGTAGTGTCTCTACTTTAAAGAGTCCTCTCCTGCTGATGTTCAGGTGTATATCAGTATTTAGTGTCTCTACTTTAAAGAGTCCTCTCCTGCTGATGTTCAGGTGTATATCAGTATGTAGTGTCTCTACTTTAAAGAGTCCTCTCCTGCTGATGTTCAGGTGTATATCAGTATGTAGTGTCTCTACTTTAAAGAGTCCTCTCCTGCTGATGTTCAGGTGTATATCAGTATGTAGTGTCTCTCCTTTAAAGAGTCCTCTCCTGCTGATGTTCAGGTGTATATCAGTACGTAGTGTCTCTACTTTAAAGAGTCCTCTCCTGCTGATGTTCAGGTGTATATCAGTATGTAGTGTCTCTACCTTAAAGAGTTCTCTCCTGCTGATGTTCAGGTGTATATCAGTATGTAGTGTCTCTACTTTAAAGAGTCCTCTCCTGCTGATGTTCAGGTGTCTATCAGTATGTAGTGTCTCTACTTTAAAGAGTCCTCTCCTGCTGATGTTCAGGTGTATATCAGTATGTAGTGTCTCTACTTTAAAGAGTCCTCTCCTGCTGATGTTCAGGTGTATATCAGTATGTAGTGTCTCTACTTTAAAGAGTCCTCTCCATAACCTATATCACTAAGGTGATTATCGTATTATAATGTACATTTAGATTTATCAATAATATCTTTATAAATATTAAAACACCACCGTCTATTGAGGAAAATACAAATGTTTGAATATGTATTTATATATATTGACATGCACATTTTTACTTAACTAATGTTTTTCAAATGTATTATTTTTGTATTATTTAATTGATCTTTTATTGATATCTTAGTTGCCCAATTTCAGTTTAACTTTTTGTGTATCTATTTATTTCTATCCTATTTATCTTTATTTCACATTGTTGTACTAACTAAATATGCTTTTATACATATTCGGGTTCCTATATTATGTTATTTATCTCTTTATTGCACATTTGTACTCCTCACAAAACCTAATTTCCTCTAAAAATGAGTGCAAAATAACAGCTAAGACTTCTAACCCTGAAAAACATCACTGATCTAAACGAGTAGACCAAAGTCACGGTGACGGCAGAGCACAGCAGGACAGATAACCTCCACTCTGCAGCCGAACATATTAAAGTGAGGTCACATTGACATCAGTTCAACCTCCAAACTGGTTCTGTTTCAGCGGCTCCAAGCCCCCACTAAAGCCCAGCTAACAGTTTATATGCACTATTACAGATAGACCTGTAATATACTGGCTTCATGCAGATTTCATCAGTATATTGTGTTTAACAGGGAAAACATGCACCACATTTAAGATTACATTCTGAGGTACTTTTATGCTACTGTGTACTTCTACTCCACTACAGTTCAGAGGTAAATGGTGTACTTTGACTCCACTACATGTATTTAATACCTTTAGTTACTTCACAGATGAATGATGTGAAATATAACCAAGTGTTGAATCAGACTTTAGTTCCACCTGGAGTAAATCCACCAGCTACCCTGCAGAATACAAAGTCATTCAAACTAGCTGCACCTTTACCAGCTTTGAGAACACTTTCATGATCAATCATTATAAAACATATCATATATTATTCTGAAATGGATCAATCTGCACCACGACTACTTTTACTGTCGCTACTTTCACTATATTTTGATGAGAATACTTTTCTACTTTTACTTGAGGAACATTTTGAATGCAGGACTTTTACTGTAACAGAGTATTCCTACACTCTGGTACTTCTACTTTAACTCAAGTACAAGATCTCAGTACTTCTACTTTTACTCAAGTACAATATCTGAGTACTTCTACTGTTACTCAAGTACAAGGTCTGAGTACTTCTACTTTTACTCAAGTACCAGATCTGAGTACTTCTACTTTTACTCAAGTACAAGATCTGAGTACTTCTACTTTTACTCAAGTACAAGATCTGAGTACTTCTACTTTTACTCAAGTACAAGATCTGAGTACTTCTACTTTTACTCAAGTACAAGACCTGAGTACTTCTACTTTTACTCAAGTACAAGATAGGAGTACTTCTACTTTTACTCAAGTACAATATCTGAGTACTTCTACTTTTACTCAAGTACAAGATTGGGGTACTTCTACTTTTACTCAAGTACAAGATCTGAGTACTTCTACTGTTACTCAAGTACAAGATCTGAGTACTTCTACTTTTACTCAAGTACAAGACCTGAGTACTTCTACTTTTACTCAAGTACAAGACCTGAGTACTTCTACTTTTACTCAAGTACAAGACCTGAGTACTTCTACTTTTACTCAAGTACAAGATCTGAGTACTTCTACTTTTACTCAAGTACAAGACCTGAGTACTTCTACTTTTACTCAAGTACAAGATCTGAGTACTTCTACTTTTACTCAAGTACAAGACCTGAGTACTTCTACTTTTACTCAAGTACAATATCTGAGCACTTCTACTTTTACTCAAGTACAAGATTGGGGTACTTCTACTTTTACTCAAGTACAAGACCTGAGTACTTCTACTTTTGCAGTCGTTTGTAATTGGTCCAGTAGCCCACACACAGCTCTCATTAAAGGGGTTCATATTCAGAAATGTATTTAGTTTGTAAGCCATAAAGTGTTTTCTAAACTAGGAGCATCTCTCTGAAGATTGTTATACAGATCAACATAACCCTGCAGCTTCTTGTTAGGCACAAGTATTGTTAAGTCTGAAAGAAATGAATGACCTAACAGACCTTTTATACTTCAAAAGAGCTCAGCCAAACAAGAGGCCGGTAATTGGCTGCACTAATCAAGCCTTGGCTCAGGGACGTTTCCCCAATTTATGCTAATAACATTTTTCATAGCAGCACAAAACAAAACAGAGGAACTTCTCAACCTCTCACTACCTCAAGCCTTTATTTTAATGAGCCCTTAACCCAAAATGAGTTAGCAGTAGCACTTCCAGTTAGCTTCTCTCAAAGTCGAAAACATTTTTTGAATGTGTTTTTGGTTGTTATCCTGAAATAAGGTCTGTGGTTAACTCGAGCTGAAGAGATATTAAAGTGTTGTCCTACGACATAAAATACGTCAGTAAATACCCCACTGGTGGATTTAAAAACAGCGGTTGCTAACAAGTGTCTAAATGTGACGACTAAACGTCATCACGCCCAACATTAGCCACCTTTAGCTAAGATAGTTAGCTTGGAAAGCTTTTAGGATTTTTGAATCGTGAATGCATTCTCCAGAAATAAAAAGCAAATTTTGGGCTATAAAGGAACTACAGTAC